TCAAATACATAACAAATGACATGCTAACTCACTACTGTGCACTGCAACTTGTTAAACGTGAAGACCAGAGGTCATGATTTTTGGGAATGGTAGGAAAATGCTTCTTAACAGGATGTTTCACTGCATAAATTAACTGAAACACATACCAACACAACATATGTACTGTATAAGGATATGTTGTGCTGGAAAGTAACACAGGGTGTTATAAAACAACACACCTACATCACGTGGTGAAAATGAATTTTTCACCACTTTTTAGTATAGCACTGTCATCCGCACAAAGATCCAGTAAATAATACATCTGATAAAAGAGGAAATGTACGCATTTCATTTCTCCTCAGAATGAGTGATGTCTAACTTCACTCAAATATATAACTTCTCTGTTGACTTCTCAGTTTACAGTTCCACTTGTCTCTAAACAGACGCATCATCACTGATATTCTCTCAGAAACACCAGTCTGTCTGTTCAGCAGCAATAAGTAGGTCTTTATTAGAAGTGCAGGTCAAAACAGAGAGACACCTCAGAGGAGGGTGCGGATCACATCGCACAAACTAATTAAGTGTTAAGATTGTCACTTCTGATGGGGTGGAAACGTTTTACCATCCGTATTAGCTTTTTTTAGAAGATAAATAAAAATTTAATTTCCTAACCTGAGGGCCACATAGTCACATAATAGTGATATGTAACATGATAAACTACATGAAGTTGATTGTCCACTTTGTCTTTGATTATCTGAATCATTTCAATAAAATATAATAATGAAGACTTCATTAGGGCTGCAACTAACAATTATTTTCATTGATTAATCTTCCAACTATTTTCTCAATTAATAGTTTGTATATAACCTCTGTATATAACAATTAAAAATGGCATCACAATTTCCTCTAGCCCAAGGCGATCAAATGGTAATCAAATGTCTTATGTTCGCCCAACAGTCCAAAATTACACACATATTAAACTATGATGTTAAGGCAAGGAAAAGCAGCACTTTTTATTTTATTTATTTTTTTACTTTTTTTGCTTAAACAAAAGAATGTTAGGATTTTTTACTTAATAAATGACTAAAAGATTAACCATCCATCCATCCATCGTCAACCGCTTATCCTGCATACAGGGTCGCGGGGGGGCTGGAGCCGATCCCAGCTGACATCGGGCGCAAGGCGGGGTACACCCTTGACAGGTCGCCAGTCCATCGCAGGGCCACACATAGACGAACAGCCACTCACGCTCACACTCACACCTAAGGACAATTTAGGGTAACCAGTCAACCTAGCCTGCATGTTTTTGGACGGTGGGAGGAAGCCGGAGCACCCGGAGAGAACCCACGCAGACACGGGGAGAACATGCTAACTCCTAAAAGATTAACCGATCATCCTAATATTTGCCGAATTATTTTCTGTCACTAAAAATTGATTTGACTAATCATAGCAGCTCTAGACTTTATAGTAATTCACAAAATAGTAAAATTGCTAAATAAAATACCTGTATTTGCAAAACATAGTAAAAATCTATGGCCTTATTCTGAGTTATGGAATATTTGTAAACAAAAAAAGCTGAGTATTACAGGGCATTTTAAACTCTCTGTGCACCAACGCCACCTACACAGATTCCCATCCATTAACTGTGGGAGTGAAAGTGAACAGGATCTGAGAGACCTGCACTGATAGTCCTCTCCGACGCTTTGTGTTGTTGATGTTCTCTGACTCCCCTGGGGTGGGGGGTGCAGCAGCATTTCAGCCTGACTTAGAGTGTCTTTGTTATTGTAGTATCACTTTGTACCAGTCTGCAGTGTCAGCGAGCAGTCACCCTACAGGCAGCCATCAGCAGCAGCTAATGCTGTCTCTTCTCCTGTATTTCACCTGAGAAAAGCACATCAGGAGGTCAAAGGGACACACTCTCTCCCTCTTTGGGCTTCATTCTTCTGAGGATTGATTTATAAATTCATGCACAGCTGATTGTAGCAGGTGTCTCCGGTGTCGCTATCGACAAGGTTGCCTCAGTGTTGTGTGTTGCTCTTGTCAGCGTTAGAAGTATCAAAGCAAACTTGCAAATCATTGCTCACCCTCGCAGCTTAGTCACTGTGCTATGAAACCGGACACGTCTGTGGGCTGAATCTGCTGAAGTGTCAGAACTCCTCCTGACTGCTGCACCGGCAGGTTCGTTTGAACAATGAAGGGTGTCACCGTTTTCCGTCCATCCACCCAATCCTTCAATCACCTCTGCTCGCTCGCTCCATGCAGGGGTCAGTCGAGGAGCAATCATTGTTTTCTATCTCTTTATCTTAGTGATTGCAGCTGCAGTATGTCCAGAAAAAAATTATATGGCCGCCAGTGTGTTGCTATGGTAACATCAACAGAGGGAGCCACATCATCTAGTTTGCTTCAGTGATGCTCTCTGAATGTTTGTTTTATGAATATTTACGTGTATATACATTCACTTTATATAGGCTATGCCAATACAGATATTATTCTAACTGTCTTCATAATATGTCTCTTTTTATTGTTTAATTTTTTTTCCTTAGTCATGTAGAATCAATCTGCAAGGAAGCTCATAAGGTTCATGTTTTTGTTTAACATCTGTGGAACAAAGCTTTTTTTTTTTACTGTGGCAGTATTGTTCGCTTGGACCTTCTGCTTCTGATTTATTGTGGCACTCTTCTCTTTTTTGTTTAGCCATGGTTATTACTGCTCATCAGCCCACAAACAAGGCAATTTTTTGCATATACTGTAGCACCTTTCATACACAAATTGGAAACAATATTAGTAATCAATAGATAATAAATAGAAAATCAAAGGTGAGGCAAGAGTATTTACTGTATAGTAAATGATAGAAATTCAAATAAATTAAATAAAACTGTATAAACAGAGGATTAAAAGTTATTGTCCAGTAAGAGACAGAAGTAGAAAGTCTAAGATTTTCTTAATTAAAATGCAGTGGTAAACAGAAATATTTCAAGCCTCAAATTAAAAAAGTTTGAGCAAAGTGAAGACAAAAGTTCAATTTTAGGACACAGTAAACAAGTAGATTTTAATGTCTCATTGGATCACCATGACATTTCATGTGTTCATATATTGACTTTGGTGATCCTCTGACCCCAGCTCCACCAGGTTGACATTTTAGTGTTTGTGAACTATTGGAAGGCTTGCCATAAAATGTGTTTCAGACATTCATGTGGGGGACATCGGGGGATGAATTGAAATAACTTTAGTGAATCCCCTAACTAATGACATTCCTATCCGCCTTGGCTGTGCTTACTGTTTAATGCTAATTAGCATATGTTAGCATGATAGCACATCAAACTAAGAGGATGAACATTGTACATTATACCTACCAAACATTAGCATATTAGCATTCTGACATTAGCTTTAATGTGCCTAAGTACAGCCTCATAGAGGACCTAGTGTGTCGAAAGACTCTTTACTGGCAGCTGCAATTTGAACAAGCTGTAGAGTTTCAAGTGTTGTTTAAGTATGTTTTGAAAGAAATCTTGTGATAATTCTTCACAGAGAACATAGCTATTTGAGCTTTAAACTTGATTACCAGGTCCTGTAATGATTAATTTTGGTAGACTGGAAAAAAAGAGAATAATAACATGCTCGAGATGAATATATGGATCAGCTTTTTGGTTCTATTTATATTTATTCTATGTAAACCACTGCTGGAAATGTGAAATGCAACTTAAGCTATAGGCCAGATAAGTTTCCAAAAAGAGCTCCCAGCACAGCCAAGTAAAATTTGGGAGGGAAAAAAAAATCTGATATTTCTTTATATGAAAATGTCACAGATGGCTATTTGCCTGTTAAGAGGAAAATGTGGTTGAATATAAAACGATTGGATTCAGCTCATGTTGGTATAATGTTATTGCCATTTAGTTCAATGAAGAATAAGAAAGAATAAAATACAGTAATCAGCTGAAAACCGATATGCCTCTGATTATCTTGTAATATCTATGTAATATACAGCATTTATTGAGTGCTTCTTCCTTTGACTCACAGATGGTCTAGACTTACAAGTACTGTGCTAATTACCTTATTGATATGAAAGATGAACCATTCGTTTTTTTCTTTACTGCCTGAAAGTACTTTTCTTATCAATTCCATTTAAACTTATATGCATCTTAACTGTTGATATTCCTCCTTTATAATTTTATGTCATCTCTGGACCTATATACCTTTTATTTTTCATAAAAACACATGTTGACAGCCCAGATCCCAAAAAGGTTGCACAGCACCGCAAACTCAGGGGATGCACTGAAGATCCCAGTGGATGGTGGAGTCACTGAGATCTCCCTATAATTAGCTCTATCTAATATTAGAGGCTGCATCTGTGCTGAAACAAAAGGGAATTAAAAGCTTAACATCACCTCTGAGTGAAATTAAGTGCTGATGCATAATTATGATGAATATGCATTAGGATGTATGGAAATGTAGTGTATTTTGAGAGATTTGTTTTTGTGTGCGGATTTCCATACATTTGTTTTTTTTTTATTTGTTTTGTCTTTTTATTCCTGCCTGCAATGTAAACAGGCTCATTTTCAGCCAGCATCATGTTGAAAGTGGTATGTTTCTCTGTCTATGGCCACAAGTCAAATAATAGAAACACATGAATATCAACGGTGAAAATTGGTCTAAACTTAGTGAGTATTGTGCTCGTGGCTTAAATTTTTTTTAACTTCACCCAACAGACATCAGCGACCTATTTCTTATTCCAACTTTTGTTCTTCCGTTGATGCACAAGTGGGTTGACTGTCTCTATATAGTGATTGCCCCACATACGATGCAAAATGCAGCGTAGTAAATCTCCCTGACTCAAAGAGGTTTTCCAGATCATGTCTGGATGTCGTCCTGCAGGATGTCTTCAGGCCAGATGGTTGAGTGTCTGGCAACAATGTCTGTCAACTTGTTTACCTCGTCCAACCTTCAGGCCTTGGTGGAGTTGAGTCCTAGGCTTAAATACTTTATTCATGAGAGCTTAACATAATGTTTTCACTCTTTTACAGGACAGAGAACTCTCCACCACAGAAGTGATGTCCTAGAGACCGTTGTGCTTGTCAACCCTTCAGAAGACACTGTTGTATCCGAGGTAATGTCAACATATTCTGAGGCTACAGTATCCTGCTGGTTGCATGTTCACTTGCATATCAAGGTTACCCTCCATTACATCTCCTCTGACTGACACATTTACCTGTCAGTTGCCTATAAGCCTGTACATTGTTAGAAATCTTTCAATACTTGCTAATATGATAATTTTGCAAATTATACCAAAATTATAATTTTTTCTATTGCCCCCCTAATTCTACATTTTTGCTCATAACATCAATATTTTAGATTTTAAAACAAATCAAACAAACAAAATGTAATTGAGACATTGTTGTAAATTACCTCAAAATATATCTTTGACATTTCAGGTTGCAACATATACACCAGTAACTGTATATCTGCAATACGTTTGTATCGACCCAGTCAAAAATAAAAAGTTGGGCTTTTCTTTTTTTCGAAAACTTGTTTTGAGGAATATAAACATTTTCTACATTTTTTTTAACAACTTTGCGAGAATAATATGGTCTAAAAAAGGTAGAAACATTTTTAATCAGGATCTATCTGAAAACAAGTACTGCATGAATCAAATGCCTTGCCAGATTTATTAACTTGACAGTTTTTTATACTAGGTGCTACTGACACACATCAGTCAGTACAAAAGAACTATTGAGATAACAATACCCAGAAAATCACCTTCTTCACATTTGGACTGGTGACCTTTGTGTCTGTTAATTTTTTCTGTAAGCCACATCTTGTTAACCTTGACACAATTAAAGTGCATCTTCCTTTGTCAGTGGTATTTCTGTCTATGTTGTCTATCCTTTAACTGTCCTCTGTCTCCCTCTCCCTCTCTTTCTGTGTGTGTGTCCCAGATCCAGTCTTTAGTCACAGACTCTGCAGGACACAAGCTTCTGGTCTTGAGTGGCCAGAGCTCAGATCACGGTGGCCTTCTTCTTCAAACTGGGGTTTTCACCTACCAGACCTTTTCACGTGTCTTTGCTGATCCTGGGGTGAGTTGAACTACTTTCCTTTAACACTTAACAACAATCTGATGAAAGATGTATGCTGTACCTTCATGAATGTGTTTTAAAATAGTTGCATATAAAGGATAAGTACATGCGTTAATACATTTTAGGATTTTCTTTTTGTATTGTTGATGTTGTTGACAAAAATAACCTAATTTGGCTTTGTCACATTCCAGTTAAATTATTAAGAGCAAAAATCAATTTAACAAACTGCCTTGACACAAGTTGTCTACTTTTTATTTTTTTTCCCCTGGATGTCTTTACAACACAAGTCTACCACATTCATCACTGACTGATGTGTCTGGGTGTGTCCCTCTGGCAGGTCAGTGAATTACTGGGCACAACAGCCCCCAAGCAGCAGGCAACACTTACTGTGTCCTGCCGCAGGGAGGTGGGCTGGAGCTGCCTGGGACAGCAGCAGACCTTGCGGGATTTCCTGGAATACAAACTAAATCCTGAACCTGTTCTCCCCAAGATGGAGGGCGTCACCGAGTTCACAGAGTACATCTCTGAGACGGTCGACGTCCCTTCACCTTTTGACCTCCTGGAACCACCAACCTCTGGAGGCTTCCTGAAACTGTCCAAGCCATGTTGCTACATCTTTCCTGGTGGACGTGGAGACTCTGCTCTCTTTGCTGTGAATGGCTTCAACATCTTGGTGGATGGAGGATCTGAACGAAAATCATGCTTCTGGAAGCTAGTTCGCCACTTGGACCGCATTGACTCGATTCTACTCACACATATCGGCGCTGACAATCTCCCAGGTATCAATGGCCTTCTTCAGAGGAAGATAGCAGAACAGGAGGAGGAGCAGTCTCAAGGCTCCACCAACTATAGCGACTGGATGAAGAACTTGATCTCTCCTGAGCTAGGTGTGGTATTCTTCAATGTGCCGGAGAAACTCCGTATGCCAGAATCTAATCTTAAAGTGAAACGCAGCATCGAAGAGGCCTCACTGACTTTGCAGTATCTTAACAAATTAGGAATCAAGCCGGAGCCTCTCTTTCGAGTTGTCAGCAACACCATTGAGCCCATTACTCTGTTCCACAAGATGGGAGTGGGCAGGTTAGACATGTATATTCTCAATCCTGTCAAAGACAGTAAAGAAATGCAATTTTTAATGCAGAAGTGGGCTGGCAACAGCAAGGCCAAAACTGGTATCGTGTTGCCCAACGGGAAAGAAGGAGAAATATCTGTGCCCTACCTGACATCGGTTACAGCCTTGGTCGTCTGGCTTCCCGCCAACCCTGCAGAAAAGATCGTCAGAGTGCTGTTCCCTGGGAATGCACCACAAAACAAAATCCTAGAAGGGCTAGAAAAATTAAAGCACCTTGACTTCTTGCGCTATCCTGTAGCCACACAAAAGGACATTGCCTCAGGAGCTCCTCCCTCTGTTATAAAACAAACCAAGTTGAAACAAAGAACAGATAGCAAAGAGAGTCTGAAGTCCTCCCCAAAGACTACTGCAAAGGCGTCAAAGAAAGAAACTGAAGGACAAGATGATGTGTCAGCTGCCACAGAGGCAAAGAGTGACTCTGTGAAGGAAAATATATCAGAGAAAAAAGAGGAGAAAAAGCCTACTAAAACTATCAAATCTAAAACTGATCTTCCAGAAAAGAAAAAACTCTTGAAAGACAAATCCTCAAAAAAACACCCTAAGGACAGGGTGTCAAAAATGGATGAGAAAAAGGACAAGGAAAAGAAAGAGATCAAGAAAGTAAAGAAAGAAGACTCTGCTAAAAAAGATGAAAAGAAAGATGTTAAGTCCAAAGAGGACAAAAAGAAGGACACATCCAAACCTGAACTGAGAAAAATGACAAAGCCTGACCTAAAACCACTTACACCAGAAGTCAGAAAGACATTACATAAAGCTAAAGTGTCTAGTAAAGCCAAGACTGGAAAAATCAAAGCAGCAAAGGCTGAACCTGTTCAACCGAAGCCAGAAGAGCCAACCCCTGAAACTGTTCAACCTGAACCAATACAGAATGGAGCTGTTGAGGGGACTGCTCCCTCAACTCCTGAAGACCTCACCAAGGATTATGAAGAACTGAAAAAAGCTGAAGGTGTAGCTGTAACAGCAGAACCACCAGACAGTAATGAGGTTTCATTGGAGCCAACATCACAAAGGCTTACTGAAGAGAAGCAGGAAGCACAAGAAAACATATCTGAAATTCCACCTGGCACACAGTCTCCAGAAAAGGAGATATCAGCCCCAGAAGTGAAAGCTGACTTTGAAGACAAAGACAAGGAGTCAACACAAGAGAGAGAAATGGAAGATGCTCAAAAGTTTGAGGATGAGGGAGCAGCAACTCAGGATGAGGAAGACGAAGAGGAGGAAGAACAGGCACCAGCTGCTGAAAAGAAAACAGAAGAGGAGGAAGAAGATATGGGAATAGGAGAAGAGGAAGATGAGGCAAAGGATGATGGGCTTGACAGGAAACATGAGATAGAAGAAATGGAGAAATCAGACAATCTCTCGGCCAAGGTTGTGACAAAAGAAGAGGAGGACGAGGACGAGGCAGTGGAGAAAGCCGAACTGGAGGAGGTTGAAGATTTAGATGTAATAGCAGATGAAGAGATCAAAGTCAAACCTGGAGATGCAGCTGAAGAACAAATGATTACTGAAAGCAAAACCATGGAAATTCTGACTGCAGCTGAGGAAGAAGACGAAGAAGAGGAGGAGGGCTACCTGTCACATGTTGGAGGGGCCACAGCTCCCATAACCTCAATAGCTCATGGAGCCACTGCAGCTGAACCCGTCTCTTACATACAAGACGAAACCATCCCCGGCTACTCTGAGACAGAGCAGACCATCTCTGATGAGGAGATTCATGAGGAAGCAGAGGAGAGGATACCACACCTTCAGTATGATGTCGGTTCCTACGACATCTCTGTTCCAGATCAGACTGGATCCTTTGTAAACATTCACGGCATGAGGGAGATACAAGCTGCGGCCATGACCGAGAAAAGTTTTATCCCAGGTGTGCAAGAGCAACTATCAGTGTTCACCAACATCATGACTGCTCCTCTGGCAGAAGAGGAGCATGTGTCTTCTGCAACATCCATCACAGAGTATGACAAAATGTCCTCCTTCCCTACTTCAATCGCTGAAGACCAATCGGTGGCATCTGTTACAGCACCTCAAGCTGAGGAACCGCCTAAAACCTCTGTTCCTCTGTCAACCCCACCTGATGCTGCCCAAGGCAAAGAGCAGCCACTTTCTGCAGGAACTCTTTCACCACCTTCTTTAGAAGACGACAAACCACCTAAGTCTCCATCTGATGGCTTACAGCTTCCTGTTGCAGAAGTAAAGGCAGGGACTAAATCTCCTGACGTTCATGAGGAGGAGGAGGAGGAAGAAGAAGAAGAGGACGAAGACCAAACTCCTAATGTTGACTTTTCACTTGAAAAACTCCAAGAGGGCTATGCCTCATCCCAATTATTACAGGGTCAAGAGAAAGATACTGAAACACTCACTGGATCTGTGTCTCCAGTTTCAACATCTATAGACACTAAACCAGTCCACCTACCAGTTGAAGAGGAAAATATAGATGCAATTGCACCTAAAGATATTTCCTCTGTTGTGCCTACTAGACCGTTTGGATCAGACTCAGTGACTTCAGAGAGTGAAGAGCGCTGCTTTAGTCCGGATGATATCACTGTGAAAATGGCCTCCCCTCCACACTCCGGGCCCCCGAGTGTGGCTCACTCTCCACTTCGTCAGTCACCAGTGGAAGACAAGATGAAGGTGTTTCCTGATTTGGAGCTACAAAAGCAAGACAAGCTCCTCGATGTAGTCACAGCAACTGAAGATAAAACAAAAACGAAAGATAAAGCAGAAACGGAGACACAAAAAGATTTTGACAAACAGAAAGCAGATCAGCGTGAAGTAGAAGTTTCAACATCTTTGGACAAATCGTTTGAGAAGGACATCAAAGAGTTTTCCGAAAAAGATGAAGGCAACCGGGCAGAAACAATTCCTGTTTTTGCTGCGTCTTTAACAGAAGTTCAGCCACCAGTGTTAGGGAGTGATTCCCTCGTCTCATCTGGACAAAGTGATGAAGAGGTTGACAAAGGGCTCAAAGAGAAAGAATCTAAAGTGCCTGTTTCAGGTAAATTTCCGGAGAGGGAGAGTTATTTCCAGGACGACAATGATTCCAAGAAAGATGATGATGATGATGATGATGATCAAGATGATAAATCTGCAGTTAAAACCGCCCAGGTGGAACAGGAGAAACACATGGACGAAACCTCTGATGTGATACACACCAAAGATGAGGAAAAACAGAAAACTGTCATCCAGGAAGACGTTTCGGCTGTTAAGTGCATCACGGATGAGAAAGCAGAGAAACAGGCAGTAAAGGATGACACCTCTGATATTAAACCTATCAAAGAGGAGCAAATTGCAAAGGACATTGTCACTGTTGATAGAGCCATTAAAGATGAACAGAAAGAGCCTGAAGCCATGGAAATTTTAGAAGTTGTTTCTGAGGCCAAACAAATCAAAGATGAGGAGAAGCAGAAAGATACAAAAAAAGATGAGTTTGACCTCAAAACCAAAAGTGAGGTAAAGGACACAGAGGTTAAAAAGGATGATGTGTCTGATAATAAGATTTTGAAAGAGGAGGAGAAGAAGGAGACAGACAAGGGTGATATAAAAACTGAAAAGGAAGAGATCCACATCACAGATATCAAGCCTGTTAAAGACGAGATGGAGAAAGAGGCAAAGAAGGACGATATGCCCACTATTGAGCCTACTACAGATGAGAAGAAAACGGCGATAGAAACATCTGAAATGAAAGTGGTTGAAGATAAGAAAGAAGAAAAAGAGATGGAAAAGATGGACTCTTCTGCTACCAAGCCCTTTACAGATGAGCAAAAGGAAAAAGATGTGTGTGACATTGTTGCTAAACTCACCAAAGAAGAAGAAATGATTAGTATGGGTGAGATGTCTGCTGTTATCATAAAAGAAGAAAAGAGGCAAGATATTTGTAAAGATGCTATCTCAACCATCAGCCTCACCAAGGTGGAGGGAAAGGATGAAACAGTGATTAAAGATGAGATTCTTGCTGCCAAGCCAACCACAGAGCAAGAAAAAGAGACAAGTAAAGATGATAGTTGTGACATCAAGGAGCAGAAGAAAGATATGACAAGCAAGGATGATGGATACATTTTCGAACCTACTATAGGAGAAGACAAGAAAGAAGACATAAGTAGAGATGATAAAGAGATAAAACTTACCAAGGAAGAGGAAAAAGATGAACTGCCAATTAAGCAAGATACTTTGGCGGTTAAACCAACAGTTGGAGAAGAAAAGGAACAAGAGGAAAGTAAAGATGATTCAGCTGCCATCAAACTTAGCAAGATGGAGGAAGAGCATGTAATAATATGTAAAGATGATGATTTTTCTGCCACGTCAATCAAGGTAGAAGCAAAAGAGACACTTCAGGATTCTGTCAAACCAGTAAAGGAGGAAGAAAAGGGGCGAGAAACAACTAAAGATGAAGATGTCACTTCTCCTGTCAAACCTGCCCAGATAGAGGAAGATGACGTAATAAAGAGTAAAGATATTTCCGCTGTCAAAGCACCCAAGGACGACACAAGCACAAAGGATGATACTTTTCTTGCTAAAGCCACTGTGCAAGACGAAAAAGAGAAAGAAATCAGTAAAGATATTTGTGCTGTCAAACCAACTATAGAAGACGAAAAAGAGAAAGAAATCAGTAAAGATATTTGTGCTGTCAAACCAACTATAGAAGACGAAAAAGAGAAAGAAATCAGTAAAGATATTTGTGCTGTCAAACCAACTATAGAAGACGAAAAAGAGAAAGAAATCAGTAAAGATATTTGTGCTGTCAAACCAACTATAGAAGACGAAAAAGAGAAAGCAATAAATCAGGAGGAAACTTTCACTGTGAAACCACCCAAGGAGGAGGAAGTGTCAATTAAGAATCATATTGTTGCTGTCGAACCCATCAAGGATGAAAAAGATACAGTGACAATTTCAGGTGAAATTTCTGGTATGAAACCTACCAAGGAGGGGAAAAGCGAAGACGCTGCTGGTGTAAAACCACTTGCTGATGAGGAAAAGAAGGTAGAGCTGAAAGATATTACATCTGATATAAAACCCATCATGGAGGAGGCAAAAGAAATCCCCAAGGACACAATTTATTATGAAGAAATTAAGGTCAAAGAGGAAGAAATGGAAAAAAAGAGTGAAATTTCTGATTTTGTATCCATTAAGGAGCAGAAAGAAAATAACACAGATGATACTTCTGTCAAAACGATGAAGGTTGACAAAGAGGTGGAAAAAAGTGACATTTCTGATTTTGTATCCATTAAGGAGCAGAAGGAAAATGACATAGATGATACTTCTTTGAAAACCTTGAAGGATGACAAAAAGGAAAAAAGTGACATTTCTGACAAACAGATACAAATGCAGGAGATGGGTGATATCTCTGACCACAGACCCATTTTGGAGGATATTAAGGATAAAGAAACAGAAAAGGATGAGACAAAAAAGGAGAAAGAAACAGACTCCAGTGTTGAGCAACCCAAGGGTGTGAAAGAGCAAGAACCGTCTAAAGTTGAAACCATCAAGGAGGAAATGAAAGATGTAGTAAAACAGGGCAGTCATGAACCTGAATCAATCAAACAGGAGACAGATGACAAGAAGGAGGTAGAGCTGCCTGTGTCCCAGTCCTTGGAAGAGATGAAAACTAAAAGCGATGATATTTGTGATGTTAGTGATAAGCATATACATGAAGAAACCTCGGATAAGCTTACTGGAACAGAGAAGGAAACTTTTGGCGCTACATCAACAGAAATGCAGCACGACACTTCTGTAACTACATCAAGTGAAGACCTGAAACCAGTGAAAGTTGACATTTGTGTGGCTCCCAGCCACGTCGAGGAGAAAAAAGAACAAGATGAAGAAGGGAAGATCAGTGTTACTCAAGGAGAGAAGATGGAGAAAGAAAAAGATGATGCACATGTTGCTGAACTGAGCAAAGAACAAAAAATGGAAAAAGAACAAGAAAAAGAATACACCTATGGGACTGAAGACATCAAAGATGAAAAGACAAAACCAGAAGAGGATGAAAATATGATTAAAGAAAAGGATGTTGCTGAGAAGAAGACAGATGACATAACTGAGAAAGAAACATATGACTCCTCTGATGCAGACCACACCAAAGAAGAGAAATGGGAGAGAGAGGAATTACAAGAGAAAGACCTGGATAAAGCCATTAAACAACCTGCAGAGACCGTATTAGGAGAAGCAGCAATGGCATCCAAGTCAGATTACAAACCTCCATTTGTGGTTCAGTCCTCCGATGAGGACAGAGAAGATGAAGAGGAAGAGGAAGATATTTGTATGGGAGGAGCAGGCTCCAGACCTTTGTCAGTGGAGCCAAGGAAATCAGAACACGATATCTCCTCTGCAGGTTTGCCCTCATCCCAAACTCTACAGACAAATGACCAAACTAAACCACCAATATCAGAACACACCACAGTGACCATACCAACTCTTACAATGCAGGAGCCCTCCATTGATGAGGACATAAAAGAGTTTGGCAAAGAAGAATCCAGACTTTCACTTGAAGCGGGCAAAGATGCTGTGACAAAAGAAACCACACCTGCACCACTTGCAAAACCAGAGCCCTCCTTTGATATTGTCACATCAAAGGAGGAGTCGACTTCCGTTTCTAAACAAGAAACAGCTTCTGATATCCCAGCAGCTAAAGCAGAACCAATGTCAGACTCAACTGAGAAAAAGCCTGTGTTGTCAGCAATATCAAGCAGTGACAGTCAACCGAAGAGCTGTACACTTTCGAGTACTGAGAGCCAGTCCAGTGTGGAGGAAACACCACAGCAAGAGAAACAGATATGGTCTCAGACAAGCTCAGGAGTCAGTGCTACAGAAAAGACAAAACTGGATGAAAAACCAGAGAAGGAAGCAGAGAGGGAGATGGAGGGAGAGAGAGAGGTGGCTTCTCCAGGATTATCACAGACTTGCTCATATTTTATGTTGGACAAAGAAGATGGCAGCCACTCTGAAACTGTAAAATCAGACACTGAAAAAATGGAGATTGTTGATAAAATGTCAGAAAAGGAAACAGTCAGTGGAAGCCCCGGAGATGAAAAGCAAACCTTTGGTGCATCCAAGTACGATCCGTATGAAAAGCCCATTCCAAAGGATCATGACTCAGACTCTCGAGAAGAAAGTGAGGTTTCTTTAGGTTTTGATCATGCCTCTGATATGGGTATTGATGATAACAGAAGAACAAGCCAGACAGATGTTGGAGGAGCCATGTTCCTCCTGGATGATCAGTACAAAGAAGAGCCTCTGTCCTTTAGTAGAGTCGACTACAGCCCAGTGTCCCTCACAGAGAGCGAAAGAAGCAGCCGCCACAGTCAAAGTGCCTCGCCTAAATATGAAGACAGAGAGAAAGGCCAAGAGGAAGAGAGGGAGAGAGAAGAAAGACCGGATACACCTTATGTTGACAACATGTCATCCATAGACATGCAGGATAACAAAATGTCACAAGCTGCTGACTCATTTTCTTTCAGTTCCAAAGAGGACAAACCTGAGAAATCAGAGAAAGAGAAAGAGGATATGACTGAAGGTGCTGCAGCAGCTTTTCAAACAGGTGCAACAGGAGAAAGTGATAAGTTTTCTACCAGTGCTGCTGCAGCAGGGGTTTCATTAAGACAAGAAACACCCTCTCCGTCATGGAATCAGTCAGACCTCGGTCCCCAAGTTTCAACTACTCCTGTGGCTTTTGAAAAGAGAACAGAAAAAGACAAAGAAAAATCAGCTGAGTCGCTCAAAGACAAAATGGAGGCCTCTGACCATGAAAGAGAAGGATCTTCATCTGGTCGGCATTCACCTGCAGAAAAAGACATTTTACCTCAACAAGCATCACCTTCAGAGAAAGAAGAAACATCAAGTGATCTCCGGACTTCAGCTGCTGCCACATTTTTACATGAAATAGATGACAATGTTTTGGCATCTGACAATAGTCAAATTAGCAGCTCTGCCACTTGTAAAGCCATGTTAGACTTTCCTGAAGGAAAAGAGAGTCTGATTGATAAAAGGTTACTTGTAGAGGGTGAAGATTTTAATGTTGATGATGATGAAGACGAAGATGAGGAGGAGGAAGAGGAGGAGGAAGAGGAGGAGGAGTTAAGTGATATAGATATGGAAAAGGGTGCCAGAGAACAGTCTGAAAAAGAAATGTGCAGACGTAGCTCTGATGATAGTGCTATGTTATCAGAGGTAGAAGACTCAAATAAAAAGTCCCAGTTGCCTGAGTCAAGCTCTCCTAAAGAGGAAACAGTCTGTAAACCAACACCTGATGATACCTCAGCTTCTAAAGTCACAGAGACAGATAAGCAGGATGTGAACAAAAAAACACCATCTCCTGAAACAAAACCACTCAAAGATGATGATACAACTGATGACACATCCACATCCAAGCTTCCTGGGACATGGAGTGAAGATGTTGCTGAAACAACTCTGTCACCAGACCCAAGTGCTCACAAATTGGACGAAAGCTGTTTCACTACATCAGATGCCCCAAAACCTTCTGAAACAAAAAAAGCAGAGGACACAGGCAAAAAGCATTTGTCTCCTGAACCAACCACAGAGAGAAGGTTGTCATCCGCAGGGGATGTTACCTCCTCTGAAGAAGTAGAGTCAAAAAAAGGAGATGACGCCCAATTGTCCCAATCGCCAAGCTTTTTGACAAAGGAAACTAGTCAACCAATGTCCACAAGCAGCTTGACAGGCAGCTATTTGCCACCTGACCATTCAGAGTCCATGTCCAAGACTACGTCTAGTCCCTCCCCTCCACTAAGAGGTAGCTATGCCGATATCGGACAGAGCAGATCTGGAGGTTATTCTGAGCATTTTTACAGTGAGGAGAGTCAAGAAGGATTGAAGGAGGATAAGAAGGAAACCCATCAATCCAAGCAAAGCGATGATAAATATTACAGCCAAAGAGACACCCAAGAAGAAAGTCTAGATGAGAGGCAGACCCCAGATATCACTGAAAGACATGAGGAAACTACCTCCTCAGCTTGCACATACACTACCTTAACATACTCGTCCACATCGTACAGTTACTCGTCCTCAGCCTCAACTTCTGCCCCTCTGAGCCAGAAGTTTGGAGACTCTGAAGTAACTCTGGCCAAAGAGGAGCCATCGTTCACGACAGAGTCTACAAGCTCCTGCTTTGGAGGGTTTCAGAGAGATGAGTACATGGAGGTTTCAGCGAAACCTACAACAAAAGTGTCTTTACCCAGCCAGTTTGATGAGACCAAACCATCATCTCCAGTCTCGTCTACCACTGCCAAAGAGACTGAGGATCAAAGTGATTCTGCAAAGCCTGAAACGTATACAAAGTCAAGCACTGATAGTTCCTCTATGCTAGAAACTAAGATGACAACATCCTCCGCAGCACCATCCCTACAAAGTACCGAACCAGCAAAGGTGTCAGAGAGTTTATCCACGTCAGAGTCTTGCTTTGATGTTTCTCCCCTCCAAAGGGCTGACTACTCTGACAGGGTGTCCGGAGGGTCAGCAGAAGATGAGGAGCCCGATACACTTGAAATGGAGGACAGCACCCTACCATGTCGTATTGAATGTCAAAAAATCAAAGTGGCTGAGCAAAAAGAAACCTTTTCACCAATAGCTGGGTCATATGTAGTAGAAAGCACCATACACTCCACAGAGACAAAGACGGTCACCATCACCTCTACTACCGTTGTGTCTAAACCTGACATGGTGATGGAAACAACTCAACCGACAGCCTCAGCTACTCCATTGAGTGATAGTGGAGCTAGCAAAACCACATGTGCCACGACAGATGTGTCCAAAACAGATGAGGATAAAGAAAAAAAGGAGAAAACACTGGAGATAAAAGAGGAAAAGACAAATGGAGCAATTGCATCCTTAAAGGGAGATCCAAAGGTGTCCGAAAAAGAAACAAAAGAAAAGGATGAAAAGACAGATCCTGCTAAAGACAGTGAAGTCAAGCAGGAAATGAAACTGGAGGAACACACATGTAAAGACCGCACAGAGGAGATGAAGGCAACAGCAGATCCAAAAATGTGTGAAAAAGTAGAAGATGGAAAGAAAGGAGAGGCAGAAAAAGTAGAAGATAAAAGCTTTTTGGATAAGCCACCAGAGAGATTAGAGGTCAGGAGAAAGAGCAGTATATCGGATTGGGAGCTACTACAGAGGCCTGACGACTGTCCTAGTACCCCTCCTCCAGGTTTTGGTGATGATGAAGAGGAAGAGGATGAGGAAGCAATGGAAGCAATGGAATGGATGGCCACTGTCCACAGTACCGCTATGTCCTCCTCACAAGATACCTTTCAGACAGAAACATCAGGCAAAGGAGGCGTAAAGGCCGATCGTCCCTCTGACCTGAACACGGGAGCCACCTCCTCCTCTGCCTCCCATTCAGGCTACTCCTCCTGCGAATATAAACACCGCAAAGGAGAACTTTCTCCATCGTTCATCAACCCCAGCCCTCATCAGCTCTCCAGTGACGAGGGTGAGAGGGACGGCCGCAGTGACCACTCCCAGGAAGGCGACGAGGATGATCAGGAGCAACACTCTGTGAAAAGGAGGTCGCACAAGCAGAGACGCCAACACACTGAGAGTTACCATGGAGATGCTGGGCAGGGGCCACACCAGCTGCCCGGCGCCATGTCATCTGGTTTGGCGGTGACGTTGGCTGGAGAGGAAACACCTCCAACATCAGTGAGTGACTCGTTGCCTTCACAGTCTGATTCTGACGTCCCTCCAGAAACTGAGGAGTGTCCGTCCATAACAGCTGAAGGAAATCTGGACTCAGACGAAGATGCTGAACACCTGCCGGTGGACAAATTATCTGCATCTGGAGCTGGTGGGGGTCACCATCCTCCATCACCAAGGTCAGCTCAGAAAACTCATGATCCTCCCCCCACCCCGATGAAGGACCCTCATCCCCACCCCCCCCAACCAGATGTGTGCATGGTAGATCCAGAGGCTCTTCTCAATGACCACAGCAGCACAGAGAAACTTCTTAAGAAGGAGCACAAGACCACCAAGGGCCTCAGAAAGGGTAAACCAAAGTCAGCCTCCCCTGCTCGTAAAGGGGAAGTCAGGAAGAGGTCCACTACTCCAGTGAAGCAGACTTCCAAGGACTCCGCCTCACCTCGATCAGCCTCCCTCAAGAGGAAGGACACAGATAGAAGCTCCAAGCTGATCAAAATGTCGGAGACCCAAGGCTCCAGGAGTGAGATCCTCAACCCGGGGAAAGGCTTGGTCAATGGTGTCAAAAGCAGTTCAGGTGTGTTAATGTCTTCACATCCTGCAACATAATTTACCTTCAAAATAATTCCTTTGCTGATTCAAAGTGTCTTTACATCAGGAGCTGTGAAGACACTGTGAAACTGTAAAAAAAAAAAAAAAAAAAAGATTTCCCATGATTTGAAAGCTCAGATGCAAAGTTTGATTATGCACTAAGACACACAAACCTCCACAATTAAAGAAAATGTAGCTCTTATCATTTTAAACTGTGCACGTTGATTGCTGCAGATAACACAGTGAAAGCAAAGTTGATTGCACTTGTACTCCTTCTGTACAGGCATTTTGCAAATGAACTTGCATAATCAACTTATAACAAGTCTCTGTAAACAAGAAAAGAAAATCAATAATCACCTGAAAAGACATCACCACTGGCAGATCAAGCAGAATAGAGAATTTTTATTTCCAGAGCCAGAAATCATTTTTGAGATACAAATAAAATACTTGATTTTTTTCTATAATAAAAGGTCAAAAGTAGATGTTAAGACCTATAGATCCATTTGATTTCCAGCCATTAGCCACATTTACATGCTCATTAAAGGGTGATTATAATGCATTCAAAACAACTCTGCAGTGTTTGTGAATTAACCCTTAATTATATGAATGTGATTAAGCTCTTAATTGAAATACACCTACATCTACAATAACATACAAAGTATATTGTAATCACTTTAGTAGATATAATTTAGGAACGTTGTACGTGTGCCATTGATATAATGTGCATGTGAGAACTGATTGACCCATTTCTGTATTTTTTTTTTAAATATCGTTGTACAATGATCTGGGGCGAGTTAATGTAGCTTATATTGAACATTACTTGTCTATTTGCAACTGCCTCGTCTGCACTTGATAATGCCAGGTTTGGACATGCAACTGACTGTGGTCATTAAAAATGTGCAACTTTAACTTGAAAAGGACACAGGGGCCATTAGAAAGATGGATCTGCAGCACAGACATTATTCTATAAAAGTGCAATGATACATGGTATGGTCATATTTTTCAGAATAAATAATTATTAATAAATTGCTGGACAGAATATAATTTCTTCAGTTCAGGAAAAAGTTATTTGCTATTGCAGAAAAATTCGATTCAGTAAATAAGTTAGTAGGTCATTAATATTACTCTCTAATGTTGTTTTATATCCTTGTTCACTTCCAGCTAACAACTCCCAGAAAACTGGCTCAGCCGTCCCCCCCGGACCACCCGTCTACGTCGACCTGGCCTATGTGCCCAACCACTGCAGTGCCAAGAACGTCGACCAGGAATTCTTCAAGAGAGTGCGAGCTGCGTACTATGTGGTGAGCGGGAACGACCCAGGCAGCGGAGAACCTAGCCGCGGAGTCCTGGACGCCCTGCTGGAGGGCAAAGCTCAGTGGGGTTCCAATTTACAGGTATTTTTATTATACATTATCTACATTTAAGTGTTGAATTTGAAGAATGTCGTCGTTAACTAACTATACTGTAGCTCCATATAATACAGTAATTAGAGCGGTATCAATCTTCTCATATAACTCCATTCTTGAATTTGTTTGTTCATGTATTATCATCATTTATGGCCAACCTCTTTTCCCCTTCACTTCCTCCCTACTCATTTTGTTTCCTTGTGTCCCTGTCAGGTGACTCTGATCCCAACCCACGACACAGAGGTGACCCGGGACTGGTACCAGCAGACCCACGAGAGGCAGCAGGACCTGAACATCATGGTTCTGGCCTCCAGCAGCACCGTAGTCATGCAGGACGAGTCCTTCCCTGCCTGCAAGATAGAGTTCTGAGCTTCAGGAGCCCTTCTGTGCTTTCCCCTCTCCAATCCTCCCCCTCCCTGTCATTTGTTCTAACTGGACGTAGAGTGAGAGCGAACAGCACTCTCTGCTTCTTCAAAGCTTCTCGCTCTGTCATGGTACCAGTCTCAAATACATTTGCTGCAGCCCTCAATACACTAGATTCTGTTAGCTGAAATCAAAGTCAAAGCTCTGGGTTTATGCCCTCTGTGACAGTGGGCTTACCACGCACAACGATAACCTACTTTCATGTTTGTTTTCCTTTGTGAGTTAAACGTCTGCCCTAACACACCTCTTATACTAGTACTAACAATTGTGAATAAAAATACAAATCATTTCCAGTAACGATCACACTTTGCCTCACAGCTTACAGAAGAATTGACATCAAGTGTCCCACAAATGCATAATGCCACAGTTAAACTATATATTAGTAATGTGAAGTCCTTAAACTGTTGATTCAAATCAGAATTAACTTGGAAATTAAATACTCCCATGTCGCAAATTTCTCATCCAGAGGGCCAAAACAAGTGCCAAAACACTGTTTAAAACAGAAATTCATATATGTTAACTTCTCCAAAATGTCTCCTAAATAAATCAGAGATCAATAATTTGTTTAGATTGTACACAGTATTTTTAGAAGAGTAGAAATTTCTGTTTCTTAATTTGAAGCTTTCTTTTCCATCAGTGCACATGACAAAACTCATCCTTTGCAATTCTGCTCACGCTACAGTAGTTTTTGGATTAACTCAATAATGACAAATTGATGTTATGTAAAGAAAAACAAACAAAAAAACACGTTCCTTCTTGTCATTTGTGGTGAAGTTTTAGGAGGTGCCTGAAGTTGCCACAGTTTGAAATCTTTCTTCTCGGCTTTCACAGCTTCGCTGGTGCATGATGCTTGCGTTTTAGCTCGGACTCTTTCAGAAGTGCGTAGGGTTAAATAATTTCTTTAGCCAGCCTTCAAGTGTGGAATGCAGTATAGTGTAGATAGGTTACAACTCTGTTTGGCTGTCTATGCTCAAGTGAATTCAATAGGCGCCAGGCAAAGGGACGACGTTTGTACTAATCATATCTCTGCTGGATGTAACGGTTCCTCTTTAAGTCTTAATCATGGTCTTTGTTTGTTGTATGTACTCCAGTATACGTATAGGGTAAATGTTTCTATATCAATACAGAGGTTATGTTAAATAAATGATATATTTTGTGATGATGCCGCAAATTATGATCCTTTAAGCGAATGCAGCGTTTTTGATCATGTATTTGAGAAGGTGGTTTAATTTACATTTCAATGTCATTTGCTCCTGTTCAGCTACATTTTACCGTCTCTGTCAATATCACAAAGTGATGGAACAAAACAAGCAGTGACCTGTGACAAATGTAGCAATGGAAGCTCATCCGCTAGTCCCTTCAGAGGGAAAGTTACAGCAGGGGGAGCTGCAATATTTATATATATTATTGATGTGTGAGAGGAGGCTTCCTTTATGTGCCTTTAGCTTGTGGTTTTGGAGAGAGGGGCACATTTTAAGGACATGTCAGCCATTTTGAAGCAGAGCCAGAAAGCAGGGTAAATCAAAGAAAGTACACGACTTTGAAATAGAGGACCAATCAGTTCCCAGAGTACGCACACAAACCTTATCTACACACACACGATACTCTGAAATAGTACACTTACATGTACTTACGTACATTGATATAACTTTGGAGCTCTGTAATCGACATTCTGAAATGCCACTTTAAAACCAATATGAATGTCTTTTCGCAAGGTATTGCACCAAATAAGAATTATTTTTTCTGACGTCGGAGAGGAGTGGGAGACAGATTTTCATTTGTAGTTGAAGCACAGAGAGCTAGAGTAGTAGCAGAAAATAACTTTTCATTGTAATATAAAAGATGTTCCTCCAAACTGAGCTTGCAGTAAGCAAGGGACAACATCTTAATATAAAGCATTATCAAATATTAATCCCAGAGTAATATTTATAGAATGTGCATGAATGAGATGACCGTGATTGTACTGGACGCAGTTATGAAGTAGGAATGTCTTTGAAGTAGTTTTGTGGGCGTGTGTGTGAGTCTAAGATACACACTGAGTAGCTGGATATTTTTAAATAACGCAGCTTAGTTTGTTTCTGATGGTGACCTGGCGAGTGAGTCACATTCAATTTACATGAGGCCAAATTTTCTTTCTTCATTTCTATCAAATTTTTTAGAGTAAAAAATCTGTATTCGCAGTTAACTGTGGTTTCAGTTTTCCCCAAATTTGTGCTGAGAAGCTATTCTGATTATTTTCTGTTTACATTTTATTTTTGTCTAAATAAGAAATACATTTCTGCTAATATGGCTCCACATGCTTGTTATTTTTGTTTTGTTTTATTTTGTGAAGATCTGATTTGAGGCCAGCGGACAGCTCGGTTGGGCAAAGCAGGGGAGGCTTGGAATTCGTAGAGAGGACTTTGTTTGAGCTATAGATGACAGATTGATTGCCAGGATGTTGCCAACTAAAAGCAGGGAGGATCCTCTGCTTACACAGTTTAACTTAACTTGATTCTTTCCCTCCGCCTGGGACCAGTGCCATTTTTTCCCCCTGTAAAACTCAATCATAACACTCGCACTATCCTATACCTCATCTTCCAAAGCCTCCGTGCTCTTTGCTCTGCCTGGCCTCCGTTAGTTTGAAATCCCAAGGTTATACTTGTCCATTATGCACTGTGTAAGAGGCCGATATAGCTTTCTTTATCCCACTGGGGAGAATATGAGTTTGATGCAGCTGGGAACGCACAAGTACACACATATCCTAGTGTGGAGGGAGTTGATTAACTGAATGGCACATTACGACGTGCACACTGAGGGGACAGTGAAGGTTCAAAATAACTCCCTTGAAAAGTGAAAACAGTTCATGCCTAAATGTTCGATCAAGCAAAAAGTCCTTTTTACCCCTTCTTCAATGTATGGATCAGATTGTGCGGATGGTCTGAAATGTTGTACTGTGTTGTAATGTTTTTAAGTTGGCAGATTCCAAATACCCGGCCTTGAGATTTTCAAGGCGTCAGTAGCATGCTGTGAATCACTAAATACTGAACTGTGTGATATACAGAAGCTGAATGCACTATACAGGAGATCTATTTTTCTGAATGTAGAGTTGGTACTACCATGCGAATGCTGCTGGAACAAAACAATGGACAAAAAAAACTAAAACTAAAAACAAACAAAAAAAAAAACAACATTCACACCAACCTAGACTGTAATAAATTTTAGGGAGCACAGATTGTGGGGCGGATACTGGTTTGACATTTTTGGAGGAGACAAGTTTGACTCAACTTGTCAGAGAGCAACTGAAATCCCATAACGTAAATATTAACAGTAACACAGAAATAGTACTAACTGCAGCTGCAACTTTTTCCTTTTCCTGAATATGACTTGAAACACATGCAGACTCAAAAACCATCAATAAAATTAAACAAACGCTACATGTACATGTATGTACTGTACACAGATTTGTACATATCGCTCTGGAAAGAACAAATCTGAAAAATATAACAATCCTTCTTGTGACAACTGTTTGTTTTAGCTGATTTTAGTGATGGTATGATCAAAACTGCTAACTAGTCCTTGAACCAAGAAAACTACACAAAACGCTGACAAGATACAGAATGAAAAAAGTGCATCTTTCAGTTGAATTTCATCGACGTACCTGCATCAATATGAAAATATCATTTGATCACAATATGGTGTCATCTGTCCATCTAATCTCTCTGCATGTGATTTATTTAGTTATAATCCTGAATGTAATTGTTTAACATGGAAATAATAATAAAAAATACAATGCTATTTTAAAGAGGTATATTTGAAAAAAGCTAATTGTCTTAACTGGTACTGAAATGACCTACAGTAATATAATACTGGGCTGTGCTTTTATTGTTTGACCTATTAACATGTTGTTAAGAAGACGCTGTATTGGTAGTTCTGTTTGATTCTCTCTCTCTCTTTTTTTTTTTTGCATTGTATTAATCTTAGTTATGTTTTTCTTCCTCAGTGCAATATTCAATATCTCTCTGTCTCTTTAATCTAACGGTAAAACTAGAACTACTGCAGATTCATTGTAAAAGGGAAACAGCCTGGTGATCATCAATTAAAGTACATTGAAATCTAAATGTGTGTCATTGGTCTCTTTCATGTCTTTACATCTGATTTTATACATCAAGAGTGTTAGGGAGTGTTATCGATTATTATAAATAATTAACAGTACTCATAAAATGCTAACTGATTTGTCATCTTTGATTAAACAAGACTAAAAGTCCAAGTGAGGCTGTTCTTGGCCACAGCAGTGCTTTGAGCTAAATGCTAACATCTGCATGCTAACATGCTCACAGTGATAATGCTAATGCTGATGTTTGGCAGGTATATTGTTTGCCATGTTCACCTTCTTAGTTTAGCATGTTCTCATTGTAATGTTTGCGAGTTGGCGCCAAGTTAGCAAGTATTTGGTCATAAACCAAAAGCATCTGAGAATATAACTTTAAACTGATAAGGCGCTGGATAAAAAGTTAAGAGATCGTGAAAATATTTACAATTAATTCTGAGAAGGACAGTAATCCTTCTGGGGATCACGAATGTCTCTACAAAATGTCATATCAAATCTATCTAGTATTAACTGAGATAAAGGGCATTCCTTTTTGTGCACCTATTGCACTTTGTACTTTATATTTTGGGGGTAAGACCGTTGGACACTTAACACTTCTTTTATTAACATTTTCTATATGTGAATGGATTACACAAAGTCATTAAATTGTCTGCTTTACTTTTATATTAATGAGTTTTGTAACCAGGGGTTATGCCAAATGCTAAAAATGCCAACTCAAAGACACAAATCCTTGAATGTCTTTGAGAAACTTTTGGTTCTGATTTGAACCACAATAACATGCCACCTGAGCCAAGGAACATATTTTGTTAAGGTATAATAGTGTCTACTTCAGTAGCTAACCATTACTATGAAAGCCAGTATGGAGCCAATTTGCCCCTGGGGAACTGGTGACCAGATTCTTGCATTTGTCAATAAATACAAACAAACAAAAGTTAGAAACTGGTTTTATAACTGAACCAATCTCATAGCAAGGGTCATAATGTAGATATCTTTATTGTAGATAGATGTCTATTGTCCACAAATGTGGAAATTTGTCTTTGGCTTCACAGGCTGATTAAAAAACCTGCATTTGTATTAATTTGTTGCGATACTTCTGCTATACGGACAATTCATCACAGACTTCAGAGACAACACCACCCATATTTCCTTCATAAGAATCGTTATTGTTATGAAAATAGATTGGCTTGTAAAAGATTAAACATACAGGCTGATATGTCAGCCTCTAATTCACTGTCAGTGAAGCAGCTCCAGGCATTGTGCTTAAAAGACATTAAATAACTTGATAAAAGGATTGACTGTACTGTGTGAGAAACATGCAGGTATTTAATCAGATAAATGAGTGCCAATTTCTCTCAAAACATGGGTTTTTAAAACCGATAGATATTTAAGAGAATCCATTAATGATGCACTGCATTGGCCCGACTGTTTTTCATAAAGACAAACTACGGTGGCCCTGAAGTGCAAACCACAACAGTAAGTCGCCACAACAGGGGTCTGTACGTGTTAGACATTGATCGCTGTCCTGATTGGTTGCATGTCTCTGTCACTTTGTAGCCTACTGCCTGCATTGCAGATTAGTTTTAAAATAAAATGGACTGAAACAATGTCCATCCATCCATCTATCGTTAACCGCTTATCCTGTGTAGGGGGGGGGGGCTGGAGCCTATCCCAGCTGACATTCGGCGAAAGGCGAGTAGTTGTACGAGTAAGCACATCATGAGCAATGTGCAATCCTGAGTCAAATTCCTCGTATGTGTACACATACCTGGCAATAAAGCTGATTCTGATAAGGTTTTATTTGTACTGAGATATTGCCATTTGAAGCTAATTTCAGCAATCTATCAAAAACCAGTTGCTCTGTTTAAATCAGAAAGGCCCTTAAATGAGTCTTCATCAGAGAAGAGGAGCTGTAACCTTTTTTGTAGTTTATTGCTTTATTTGTGCATTCTCATTAATTGTGATTAGTTCCAGCTGGTGGACAAACAGCTTCCTGTATTGACTGCAACTCAATATGCAGTAATGTGATGTGGAGTCCCATGGGCTCTTTTACAGCACATTCATAAACTGTCTAATGCCATTTATGTTCGGTATCCCTTAATCTACATCCAGGAACCTCCATAGGTTCCTTTCCTTGTGAAAGTCTCAATTCGACAAGATAAATAAAAAAAAAATATTTTACATAGGAAAATTTAAATCCAGCAAATAAAGAATGAATTTTGCAGTGTGAAGGGACTGAATGTGACATTTAGATTTCTAGCAACACTGGCATCGTGGCTCAAGTTATAGTATAGTATTCCTGTGGGTCCCGACTGAAACATTTCAAAAACTATTGACTGGATTGTCATTAATGTCCCCCCTCAAGATGAATTGTAATAACTGCTGACACTTTCACTTTTCATCTAGTGCAGTGGTTTTCAACCTGGGGGGCATGGAACCACCTCATGGGGTGTGTGGATGACCACGTGAAAGACTGGAACTAAGAATGAACACTATTTATGTATGGAAACAAAAAAACAACAGTTTGCTGATGCTATCGTGTTGACCTGAATAATTTATTTTATTTCAACTGAGGCTCCTTTTTTATTTGTTGTAGTATAGTGGGAGGGAATGAAACACTGATCTAGCGCCATCATCAGGTTAAGATTTTAAATTGTCCAGTACTAGTTTATGAACAAATATCTGAAAACTTCCACCAGCCTGGTAAACATTATACGCTCGCTATGCATCACCATCTTAGCATTGTTTATGTGAGCATGATAGCATGCTGATGTTAACATTTAGCTCAAAGCCATGTGGTGCCTAAAGACTTTTAGTCTTGTTTTATGTATAAAGGTTGTGCAAAAATAGCCAGAATTTTGAGGATGTGACCTTTCCATCACTTTTATCTCATGCAAAATTATAACATTTGCAGAAACAGAAGTTGTTATAATAAAAAGCAAAAGGTCTCACCTTATTACTTCATCTGCAGTGTCTCACAAATGGTGTTCTGAGATGTGCAGTTTCTGCCCTCTGAAGCAAAAACTGTAAGTAGTTCAACATACATTAGTAAAGTTGTTTTTGCCAAACTTTGAAATACGTACCTGAATCTGTCTGTATCATAGACCGATGAGATAAACCCCATCTGTCACAAAATGTTACATAACACCAACTGTTTGATGTTAAAAATCATACCTTTGTGGGTTTTTGTGACTAAAAGCTTTTCGTACAAAGGTTTGCAGTAATTTAAATATGAAGTAAGGAAATGAGCCATTGGGTTCAGTATTGAATACAACATGCCATTTTGTTTGTCAGCTTTGATTTTTCAGGTGGACAGATGTCAAAATAGCTTAGACATTTTCTATTTGATATTTACAGATCTTTGACTCAGCAGCGAGGGAGAAGAACAATACAACTACTAACAACTACATACATCCCTGAGGGGTGGGGTGGGAGAGACAGATCAATTTCAGCTCCAAAATCAGCCTTTGAAGGATCCACACCTACACCTGCTGTGCTGTGACACACTGCATTGATTTCAGCAGGTGATGAATGGCTGCTAGTTTATCTTTGTCTCTCATTTCCATGTGTCTTTCCCTGCAGCAAGTGTGTCACCCTCGAAGGGTGTTTTTTTTTGAAACTGAAAAAGAAAGAAGAACAAATTTGTTGTTCTCTCACACTGGCAGCCCCTCTAACCTTGAATGCTACACTATTACATGCAGTTTGGGACTCAAGGAGGGTGAGCCCACACATTGCTGCTCAACTGCCACATCACCAAGCAAAACAACTCCCCTCCTCACCCCCCACCCCCACTACAATGACAACGCATATTGACTTTACACAAGGGTTATGGGGGAGCTGAGGACGGGGTGTGGGAGAGGATGTGGCAATCAAGGTCTATCTGGACACCGTCCTGCCTTCCTATCAGGTTTGGATGGAGACTAGAAGAGGGTAATTGTCTCATCAGCACGACTAATAGTTACTCTCCTCTCTCGTCTTTCCCTCCCACTTCTTTCTTTGCATTTATATTTTAGGCTATTAGCTGAGTGCAAAGCTAAGTCACTGAGCAGTAGGAGGGAAGTCGAAGGTTTGGGACTCCTCCGACAGTTAAAAATACATGTTAAGGTAATGTGACAGAAGAAATAAAAATAAGAGAATGTCTAAAGGGATTTTTAAAGCAGGTTGGATAAGATTTGTAAATGACAGTCTGTAGTTTATTTTTCCATTTCCTAACATTCATCTCTTATAAGACTAAGAGTCTATTATCTTGTATACTTCCAGTGGTCAAAGTATCCTGCCAAGAGCACATTCAATGCAGCTTTTAATCTGAAATTTGGCCCGGCTGATTCACAATAAGAGAGGGCTTTCAGCACCCCACAAAGTGGTTTCAGAACAGTTTAGATTCTTGTTTGTGTACCCATTTTCCTCAGCTTCTCTGCTGGAACTCTGTTCCAAAAGGGCATCTTTACAAACAAATGATTTTCACTTTAAATTCTACAGGACTGAAACCAATTTGTGACATTTACTGGTGTTCAACACATTTGTGGCTGCATATATCTCTTGACACAGCACTGCAAAGTCCATCGCCAACAGCTTGTGTAGTAGTGTTTAAGACTTATTGTCTTTTTATTGTAATATGCAGTACTATGCAAAGGTTTTAGGCAGGTGTGGAACAATGCTGTAAAGCAAGAATGGCTCTAATGGCTTTCTTCTTGTACTTTTGACTGCTAGAACTCTGCCCCAAAAGAGCAGCTTGAGAAACATCACAGGACTGAAACATCTTTGAGAATTACCTACAGTTCTTCTGTGGGTTTAGGCAGCCTCAGTTGCTGCTACACAGCTTTTTCCCCCACACCTAAAACAGTTCTGTATAGTGGGGTCCAGGTTCTCAAAAATGTGTTTACAATATACTTGACTTATCCTCAAAAGGTTTTCAGTATGGAACAACAGGAAGCTTACTAGTTTAAAATCACTACACAACTTGGAAATGAATTTCATCTTCATTTGCATAAAGTTAAACTGTTTATGCTTTTGACAAATCCCAGTGTTTCCACCACTAGCCGGTCCTAAGTCATCTGCTGTAGCTAAATGTTGGGGGGTGCAATTTACTTAAATACCAAATAGGGCTGAAAAGGGCATCCAATGGGTTTTCACCCTGAAAGACCTACTGGCATTTTTCACAAACTTTGTCTTTGATTACATTTCTTAAGACTGAGCTGCAACATTTCTGTAGCCAGCCGCTTTAATGACGTTTGTTTTCTTTGACTCTGCTACTGGAAAAAGAACAACTTGATAAAAGGTCACAAAACAACCTGCAGCCACATAATTGTCGTCCTGTGAGCGCTGTGAATGAAACTAGCTACTGTAGAGTTTGTACCAAGTTTGTACTGAAGCAAGAGAGAGGGCTGTGTATGTGTGTGTGTGTAAAATGTGTGGCGATAAGGGAAGATGGAAACAGAATGAATGGACATTTGTGTGTTTCAGTCTGTGTGTGTGAATGTTGGAAATAAAGCCTGAGAGAAAGACTTCAGACAGAATAAATGACATCAGCTTTTGGCTTCCGGTGAGTCGGCGTCTCTCTCCGTCTGTCTCTCTCTCCCCCGATTCACCCAGCGTTGATCAGGAGGAGTCAATTACATCTGGGGGCGTCACCATGGCAACACATGGGCGCAATGGGAAGAGGCATGAGTCATCACTATTCTTAAAAGCTGCGTGAAGAGGAGAGGAGTGGGAGTGGGAGAGGAAGGGGGGAGACGAGAAGGGAAAAAGGCAAGAGAAGAGGGGAAGGACAAAGAGGAGGGGAGACAAGGGGAGAGAAAGAGGGGGATAAGAGAAAAAATAAGGTGTAAATGAGAGGAGAAAAGGAAACAAGGAGGGGAGACAATGAGAAGAGGAGACAAGGATCGGAGACGAGGAGAAGAGGAAACAAGGAGGAGAGACGAGGAGAAGAGGAAACAAGGAGGAGAGACAAGGAGAAGAGGATAAAATGAAAGTAGTAGAGAGAATTGGAAATGAGGAGGGGAGAGGAAGCAAGGATGCGGAAATGACAGGACACAAGAGGAAATAAGGAGAGGAGAGAAGAAGAGGAGAGGAGAAAAGGAGAAGAGAGGAGAGCAAAGGAAACAAGTAAAGGATAGCCTCGAAAATGGGTGAATAAGGTGAAGGAAAAAACGAGAAAGGGTAAGAGGAATAAAATGGGGTGAGGTAAAAAGACAGGAAAGGAGAGGAGGAAACAATGGGAAGACGAGAGAAGAAAAAAGACCAGAGACAGAAGGATAGGAGTGCAACAAAAAGAAAAGAAATGGAAGAGAAGAGAGGAGGAAAAAGAAAGAAAGGAAAGTAAACAGAGAGAGAGGACTGACACAGGAAGGGAGAGGTGTGTGTTGGCAGACTGGTGACAAGGAGCTTTGTTTATGGAGCAATAACAGGCTTATGTGTCTGGACTGTGGGCCATTAATACACACACACACACACACACACACTTACAGGCCTGTTGCCAGCTGCAAACACATGTGATTTGTTGTGCTTGATAACAAAATGAACAATGTTTCCACTGTTTATAGATTTATTTTTTATTATCCTTCACCTCCTCCACCTCTTTCCAACATTACAGCTCGACCTGAACCTCAAGAGATCGACAGAAATGTTACACATTTTCTCCAGCAGCCAAACTCATCACAGAAACACACCCTTCCTCTTTGGCTGACATTAAATAGCACATTAAACAATCACATAAATACAAAACTAAAATTACCCACATCAACCCACCTTTAGGTAAAAAAAAAACAAAAAAAACATTATTCCTATTCAAATCTAAAACGCTTTTCATGATGACTAAAAAAAAATATATATATATATACACACACACACACATACACACACACACACACACACACACACTTGTTCTACAGTAGGTGTTTCCAAGGTTTTAGGGGTCATTTTAAATTTCACCAGTGTGAAATGAGCAGGGAGCTGTTTTATTTCTCCCCTTTTCACTTTGGTGTTGCAGACAGTACTGCCTGAACATAATGGTCATAATCACAGCACTTAGCTATAAAAAGGTATGGTCAAAGCCGTAAAGGTATTTCTTTGGACTTTTTTGAAGTAAATTCACCACTGAATTTATTAATTTTCATTGAAAGTGAATTGACCCCCAGTTCAGTCACATACTGCTAAAACCACTCTCCATCTATAGATTTATGATATGTCTACCTGAGCATGACTCATTACATCATTAGAAACAGTCACTTGATTAATGTAAAATTAAAATACACATTTGGACAACATCCAACATTTGTAATTTGGTGTGACAGCAGACTGTAGACACAAAAACAAATAGAACTAAACACAACTGAAAAAAACTTTTCAGGTAGTCGTCATTAGGTAAAAGTACATTTATACTATTTACTTAATCAAGTGGTTCTTCCCTTTATGTCTAAAATAAAACTACATTTAAGATTCAAAATCTATTTTGATTTGTACACCCCCCCCAAAATGAAAAAGTAATAAAAATACAGCAGGGAGGCCACAGTGTCCGCAATACTTAAAATGTTTCTCTCAAATGTCATTTAAAGGCACATTTACAGATCAAGACATTGTTTCCATTCAACAGCAGACTATCATTGAAAAGACTAATACAATTTGATCAAACTGGCTTGTGTTTTACATTAAACAAAAAATACCTGTAGAAAAGAAACCTCTTATTTTGGTTGTATGAAGTGAACTAAAAATCCCCTGAACAAAAAGTACCACAACTTTAATATAGTAAGTTAACGTGTGCCAAATGTATAACTTTAAAATGATAACCCAAATCCCTCCAGATTGAGAATAATTAGATTGCAATCTCTGAAATCATAAAAGTGTCAGATGTTCACCTTTGTATTTTACAGCCCAGTATTCTTGGGCCACACATGCCCCTTTGTTAACAGTTTAAAAATAGTCTCAGAATAATGACTGCAACCTCAAGTCATTTTTATAAACCAGGCGTGCAGTGTTAAAGCATGTGTACATAGTCTAAAAAGACCAGTTTGACATTTTGGGAAGTGTGCTTATTTGCTTTCATACAAACTGTCGGATGAGACGATTAATACCAATCTCATGTCTATATGCCCCAGTAAGTTACTGCACCCAGCCAAGAAATAGTCCAGCACATAACCCACTGTAAAACCACTAATCATTTTAACACCTTGGTTTTTGTATGAATTAAACGAACAAGATGTAGTGTTGATTAGAGATGCTGTTTTGTTACCTACCAGGCTAGATTGTTAACCGTTTCCGATCTTCATGCTAAGCTTTATGCTGAATCATTGTATCTTGACTCTCGTTAAGAAAGCAATTAAGTGTATTTGCCAAAATGTTGAACTATTCCTTTAGGCTGTAACTTTCAGCCTATATGTGTGGCTGAAACACATCAAAAACTCAAGCGGTCAAATTTTAATAAATTTTACTTGAATTTCCAAAACAGCCTGTTTTGTTGTGGGGGTGGCCACTGATTGGCTAGTCACTTTGCTGCAGCACAGCTGTACATGTTTAAGGTCAGAATTGAAGCAGCTTGTGTGTGAGACAGCATCTGGGCAGAAAAAAACCCAGCACTGTTGTTGTTGTAGCGTAGGCAGACTCTAAAATAGATAAACTGGTCTTAATGTTGGCTTGATGCACAGTTACTCAGTCGGAGCTGGTTTATGAATGTGTCGACAAACTGAAGAGGAGGATCGAGGTTATGAGAGATTTGGAACTGTTGAAGATCCAGTGTTTTGTCTCTTTACGGGGCAGGGAAAGTGTGGTGATCAGATGTACAGTGCCGAAGAGTCCATGTACAAGTTTAAGTGCTTGTATTTACAGTCTGAGTTTTTGTAATACCTGAGGCAGAGTGGCCTCTCTCCAGAATCAGCATCTCCTCCAGTGTTTTTTTTGTGTGAATGTGAGCAGAAGGACAGAGGAACAGAAGATTAAAAGCAAAGAGAGATTAAGGTCTTCAGCTTGTGCCCTTAGATACCCAGAAGTCCTTGTGTTTTTTAGACAGACAGTCTACTCACTGAAGCTGAAGTTCAGGCCAGAGCTTTCTGTGATTGGCGAGGAGGGGCCAGCACTGGAAACAGCACTGGAGGGGATACTGCCATCTTTAAAAAAAACCCACAAACACAGAAAATTCAATTATCTTTGTGACTCAGAAACACAGATGTTAACGCACATAACATACAGATCATACAAACAGCTCTGACCTTCACAACAGATCAATTCTCTGGTACAAATCCTACAACAATTGTCAAACCCTGCTGGAATTGCATGGCGCCCTCAGCGGTTAGTGTATGCGCGTTTATGTGGAGGGACACAAAGTGAACAATGTGGGGGGAGTGATCTGGTACAAAAGCAGGAAGACTACAGCATCATCCCCTCGCCACTTCATCTTCTGTTGCCATGGAGAACTTTATGAAAACAGTTTTCTGGGTTTCATAAATCAAGCCACATGTGCACATTATGTACATCAATTGTGTACATCAATAATCTGACAAAATTTAAGACTAAGATCACTAACAGTACATTTGAAAATGATGTATTCTCTCCATTCATACGTCAATAAAACTATGAATATTAAACCCATATGTAGCCAGATTTTCTCCACTAGAGAGAAACATTTTATAGTATGACACATTAAAACATTTTCAATGACAGTCTGGGCTTAATCTGAGTGACGTAGTCATGCACGTGCAACCAGCTCTCCTCTAATTACAGCCAATAGGAGAGCGAACAGTGTCACACCACAGTCGGAACAAGTGTCATATTCATTCAGCCGTAGCCTCCAGCATCCCTGCCTGCACACCGTGCGATAAATGAGAGTTAGCGCTTACAGCAACCCAGATCTGAAGCAGGTAATGAAAAGGCAGAACAGATCAACAGAAAAATTAAAAAAGGCCACATAATGTGCGCAAAGTAAATAAACACACAAGTTATGGATGTAAAAGGGAAACACAAGAGCTAGCTAGAGTAGATGCTTCATCAATCAACAACACTGGCAGGAAGATAAATTAATCACCTCACCACCCAGAGGGATAAAAAATAAAATTTTAATTAAAGCTGCAAGCAGTGTTGGGTGGGCCCTCGTACGTGTAGCACGTTGAGGTGTGAGGCGCCTGCGTTGCAGATTCTGGAGCTCTGCTGATGTGGCTGTGAATTTGCCACGTGCTTCGTACGCTGCACAAAGGTGTTAATTATCATTTCCTGTGTCCCCTTTGTGGCGCTGCATAGCATTGGCGCTATGACTATAACTGAATATTGGCATTTAGATGTGTTCGGGGCGGGACAGTTATCAAGCACGTAAAGTTTGGTGCAGATGTCAGCATGTACACTGAAGTTACAACAACATCCTCTTTCAAATCATTGATTTTGGGTGACACGCCACGGGGTTGCCGTTCCACTTTTAATCGTCAACGGGTTTAGAGTAGACAGCGACAACCTGAAGTCGGTCAGACTAATTCTGTAGGAGTTCGTTAAAGTACAGAGCCTGTAAATCATCCAAATCATCATCCGGTGAAGCGTGGAACTTCGCCGCCATTCCACCACAACAACGTTTACCGAAAACTCACAAGTTCTACATCACCGCCTCATGAATGTGTTAAGGGTTTTCTGGGACAGTTTTGAAGTTGATATGTCCAATCTGTTAGGAGTAGTACATTACAGTGTAAAACGTGTCATTTCCTGTTGCCAGCAGGTGGTGCTATGACATTGAGTGAATATTGGCATATAGATGTGTTCAGGGTGCGACTCTTAATATACATATCAAATTTGGTCCAGATGTCAGCATGTATACTGAAGTTATAACAACTTCCTGTTTCATGGCGAATAATCGATTTTTGACAGCACGCCATGGGCAAACTGGTCGACTGGTAGTAACTGTTTGAATAAATTTTAATTGTCAATGGGTTTAGACTGCACAGTAAAAATTTGAAGTTGATAGGAATAAATCCCTAGGAGGAGTTCGTTAAAGTACAAAGTGTGTAAATCGCCAAAAATGACCATTTAATCCAAAATGGCCGACTTCCTGTTCGGTTTAGGCAATGGCTCCAAGAGGCTTTTTTGTACGTCTGGACATGATACCGTACCACAGGAATTTCATACATGTAGGTGAAACTTTGTCCGGGGGCTGCTCTGTAGGGGGCGCTAGCGAGCCATTTTGCCACGCCTGAGCGCGAAAAAAGAAAGAAATATAATTCCTTCAGTTTCAATAGGGACCTCACACGTTTCATGCTCGGGCCCTAAAAATGGATCGCAGAAAAGAGAGGAGAAAGAAAAGGAGGGTGACCACATTAAAAAGGGAAGGGCTGAGTTATTAAAGGGGATGTGATGTTCTCTCAGAGTCCTATTTTACTCAAGTTTTATTGCTGATCCCACAGGGTGGCCAGACATTTACATTCTGCTGTTCTTTAGCTTGTCTGACAGTTTTAGGGCTTTTTGATGGGTCTCATTAAAAATTTACTGAGATCTAGCTCATTTAGTAAGACGACAGACTGTTCATGAAAAGCTCAGCCTTCCTTATTATTTAATATGCACATTTTAATTAAATTTTTTGATAATCCTCCTAACCCAGAGAAACTTAAAAATGGCTGTTCAGGTTGGGGTGTTCAGAGCAGTAGTAAAGCAATGAATTGATAAACAATTAATCAGTGTTTACTTTGTAAAACAACAGCTGACAAGACAATCTCAACTCAATTAATCATGCAAGTAATTTATCAAACAGAAAAGGCACATATTTTCAGGTTCCAGCTCCTCAAATTAAATAATCTGCTGCTTTTCTGTTTAATATTTGTAGTGTACAAACAGTGTGGATTTGTGCATTTTATATCAAATAAATTTGGACTACTCCAAATTCTTTCTCTCTCCCTGGGAGAAAGAAAAGGAGGGGGTGAGATAACAACCCTCAACAGACGGCTGAAGAGACCCCAAAGGAGGGGGGTTGAAAGGTTGTTTTCCCCAAGTGCTGTTTCTGGGCAGTTCGATCATAAAACTTGCCACCTCTGATGCCGCAGCCAGATAACGCTTGGTGGCTGACTGTTAAAATGACAAAGAAACACTAAACAGAGATTAGCTTCTCCTAAACAGCCTATCGGAACTCTTCTTAAGAGAGGGCAGGTGCCCCCCACACACGTAACCATGGCAACTGACCTCCCTCTTTGTTGAATTGTCGCACATCAAAGGATATTCTCCTTTCACAGCCAGTTGTAAATTCGTGAGGAACTCCAGGACACCCGAAAGACTGCCTGAACTCTTTGTGTAAACAAAGAGTACTGTCTCCTCAAAACTCAAAGCATTACCTGGTTTAATTAAATCTTTTAGTTACTTGACTAGGTCTCCCCACTCCACTTGAGTAGTTATGTTACCACGTTGGTGTTATTTGTTGTTGAAAAGAATCTTAATAAGTTAATTTTGCAGTGCTTTACTTTTCAGCAAGGATATCTGACCTTTATTCATTTTGTTGTAATCAATGCTTTGTTCCCAACACTTTGACACTTCCTTTAGAAATGATGATAAAAAAATGTCATCCTATACTACTCGAGCAATTTTCCAGCTCGAATTTAAGGTTAAATAACTAAATTCCCCAGCTCCTGAGCAAGAGATTGTTTAGGGTTAATCAAAGCTATCCTCATGTAACCCGATCTCCCCCAAGTGGACAAAATAAGTATTACATTCCATTGTCTGAAATGCCGTTTAATGTATAAATGTCACTCTGTATTTATCTTGTCCATAATCTGATGCCATTTGCGTATCTTGCGCTTCTCTAAGAACGTGTAACAGCCAGTATATCCAGAAAGCTAGTTAAGTTCCTCTGATGTGATTCCTATGAAATGCTAACCTTTTAAGGTCTAACTACTGACGACTGTTTTCCTTTTGATCAAGTGCTTAAAACTAAGAACGGTACAACCGTTTGACAATTAAGGTTTGATTGTGGGAAGATATTTGATTACAATACGCGCAAATAGATTTTTGATTAACTTTTAATATGTCTAAAGAAAGACGGTCTCTCGGGAAATTGGAAACAAGCCCTCCCTCATGGGAAACAAAGGATTGCCCTATGGGAACCACGCCCCAACAGACAAAAGCAGCGACCCACGCTGTCTCGGTCTCTTGTTCTCTTGTTCCTGTTCTCTTCAACTGCGCTTCGGCACGCGCCCAGCGTGCTCCCTCTCCCTGTAACACCCTAAGATGTTCGACCCGGCGCAACTAAGGCTTTGTTCGTTTCTAGCCAAGTGCCGCGACCTCAGCTTTCCCTCGTTTACAGCAACTTTACTTGCTTTTTATTCTTATTATTTATATATATATCAGTCCGTTAAGTTACACTAGTTTAATTGAAGAACGACCAAGTTCTTTTAAGCTTTATTCGTCGAGCTAATCCCACTGACGGCGGACTCAGCCACGTGGGCCGCCAACAGTAACAAAGGACACCTGAAAGAACAGCCTAATTGCCAGACCGAGGACGGTCAACACTTGAGGGTTTTTCTTCATTCGAGACACGGAGAACCCCCGTAAATTCCCTAGCAGAAAGCCAGGAATCGGGCAGCTAGCGTGGGGACCCATGCAAACCAAGGCATTCTGTGATCAGTGATGTCCAATAGTCTGTTAGTCCATTATCTTTAGTCCTTAAAACTCATAGCTTGCGTTCATTAGCTGCCCGTGTGAGTCAAATTCTCCCACAATAGAGCCCACATTCTCACTGTTTAGCCATTGTTTATTTATTTGATGTATATTTAACCGTATTTCTTTATGTCACCTTAGTTAGCTAATAAATTTCACTGTAATCAAAAGGAATTGTGTGTGTGTTGCCTAACTCCAAGTTCCTGCCACGATAATTTACCCCTTCGATATGAGACTGACTGACTGACTGATTTAAGATAATTGAGCGATTGTTAACCAACTTATCACTAGTGAATAATTGTCTAAATTATTAACCATACCCAGGGAATCCCAAGACCCTGGGCGAACGGAATCTCGGGTGGTAGCCCGCGAAACGAGAAGCTTTGTGAATTAATATTTTCTGAATATTAAAATTCATAATTTGGTATTAATTCTCATAAATTTATTAGATCAAATGCTACATATTATAATTAATGAAATATCTTGGTTTGTCCAGTCTTTGACTCTAAAAGACATCTGGGAAATTAAAAATATGAAATATAAAAACTAAATAAATTGAGGGCAAAACCCCCTCCCAAAACACAGTATGCCATCAATGATTAGTACAAGAATCGCTTTTTCATGAGCCTGATGAAGCACCGTCTAAAGCTCTCGTTGGGGTAAACGGATCATATCTTTATGGTCTGAGTGTGCGGTCACTTTCACAAACACTGTCAGTGATTCATCTTGCAGCAAGGAGCACCTACGACTCTGCAGTACACGCTGTGAGCAAAGCTTTATAGCTCTTTTCCACATAAAAATCAATATATTCATTGAAAAATGATCAACAGATTAATAAATAATGAAAATAATCATTAGCAGCCCTGGTTCTGAGGTTGGTTCAAGGACACTTGGCTTTCAGCTGATGTGGGGAGAGATTATGTTTATGATAAAGTTACAATCTGTAACCACTAGGTCATTGCAGATAAATTATGCGGGTCATGCTGAAGGTGTGGAAGGCCTGAGCATGCATTGCCCTTTTTAGCATCACTCTGCTTCTTTCTTGTACAGTTACTCATTTGCACAGTGCCAAAGGAAGGACTGAGGATAAAAAGCCTTTTTTAAAAGGCAGAATCTGAAACTGATAACCACTAAACACATGAAATTATTTAGAGTGATAGGTACATTTAGGTATTACCTGCCAGAAAGGGTGTTCTTCTAATCGGTTTCTTATTTTTCTATTTTACAATAAATCAATCTAAACATAACCCACAAAAAATAAAGCTGTGTATATAGATCAAAATATATGTTAGACTGACACACAACAGTATTTCCTTTCACTGTAGTTAGATTTAACTTCTTTCTGGTCTTAATTTCCAGCACCAAATCACTACCGACCTATCTATCACGAGTATAAAAGTAAGCCTACATATTGCACATTGCCATAATATCTTTTAAACACTCACGCCACAGAGGCTGGCTTGGCGGCTGAAGAGATGTTTCAGATCCAGAGGAGGAAAGAGGCTGCTGAGGGCTGTAGAGGGACGTCTGACTCTGAGAGTCAAACAGGCTGGAGAGGGCTGGAGATAAGACAGACAAAACAATATTTAGATCAGTTTCCAAATGTCATTCATAGAACCACTGTGCAGTGTTTAATATTTTAGTTAGTTGAGTTAGTCCACTCCAGCATATCTGATTAGAAACAAAACAATGACTGCGTTAAAGCGCCAAAGGCGACGTTCAGCATTAATATGGTGTTTACATCCAAACCAGAACAACATTATAGGAATTGTAGCCCTTTTTGCAATTAGTCGCTCAATTTTAGGGACAGAAAAGAAGTTCACATAAACTCAAATAGTCATCATATTTAATATTTGGTTGCAAATGCTTTGCAATCAGGGACTTGACGATTGATAACTTCCCTAATAATGCTGTGCCATTCACTCATTAATTCATCCTTTAGACTTTTTACCTTCCCTCTGGTCTTCAGAAAGTGAATGACGTGAATAGATTGAGGTCAGGGGAATGACTTGTGCAGTCATAAGCATCCCCAAAATTTAGCCTCTAAAATAAACTCGTCCCTGTGTGTGTATGTAGAAGACAATTTTCTGCCCATATTTTCCTAAAACTGGGGGATCGTTCAACCAGTGAGGATTTGAACAGCCTCAAAACACGCTTAAAGGTGAAAGTCAGGACTTAAACTACATATACAGTGGGTACGGAAAGTATTCAGACCCCTTTAAATTTTTCACTCTTCGTTTCATTGCAGCCATTTTCCAAAAATCAAAAAAGTTCATTTTATTTCTCAGTAATGTACACTCAGCACCCCATCTTGACAGAAAAAAACAGAAATGTAGAAATTTTTGCAAATTTATTAAAAAAGAAATACTGAAATATCACATGGTCATAAGTATTCAGACCCTTTGCTCAGTATTTAGTAGAAGCACCCTTTTGATCTAATACAGCCATGAGTCGTTTTGGGAAAGATGCAACAAGTTTTTCACATCTGGATTTGGGTATCCTCTGCCATTCCTCCTTGCAGATCCTCTCCAGTTCTGTCAGGTTGGATGGTAAACGTTGGTGGACAGCCATTTTCAGGTCTCTCCAGAGATGCTCACTTGGGTTTAAGTCAGGGCTCTGGCTGGGCCATTCAAGAACAGCCACGGAGCTGTTGTGAAGCCTGCGTTATTTTAGCGGTGTGCTTAGGCTCATTGTCTTGTTGGAAGGTAAACCTTCGGCCCAGTCTGAGGTCCAGAGCACTCTGGAAAAGGTTTTCGTCCAGGATATCCCTGTACTTGGCCGCATTCATCTTTCCCTCGATTGCAACCAGTCGTCCTGTCCCTGCAGCTGAAAAACACCCCCACAGCATGATGCTGCCACCACCATGCTTCACTGTTGAGACTGTATTGGACAGGTGATGAGCAGTGCCTGGTTTTCTCCACACATACCGCTTAGAATTAAGGCCAAAAAGTTCTATCTTGGTCTCATCAGATCAGAGGATCTTATTTATCACCATCTTGGAGTCCTTCAGGTGTTTTTTAGCAAACTCCATGCGGGCTTTCATGTGTCTTGCACTGAGGAGAGGCTTCCGTCGGGCCACTCTGCCATAAAGCCCCGACTGGTGGATTGCTGCAGTGATGGTTGACTTACTACAACTTTCTCCCATCTCCCGACTGCATCTCTGGAGCTCAGCCACAGTGACCTTTGGGTTCTTCTTTACCTCTCTCACCAAGGCTCTTCTCCCCCGATAGCTCAGTTTGGCCGGACGGCCAGCTCTAGGAAGGGTTCTGGTCGTCCCAAACGTCTTCCATTTGAGGATTATGGAGGCCACTGTGCTCTTAGGAACCTTAAGTGCAGCAGAAATGTTTTTGTAACCTTGGCCAGATCTGTGCCTTGCCACAATTCTGTCTCTGAGCTCTTCAGGCAGTTCCTTTGACCTCATGATTCTCATTTGCTCTGACATGCACTGTGAGCTGTAAGGTCTTATATAGACAGGTGTGTGGCTTTCCTAAACAAGTCCAATCAGTATAATCAAACACAGCTGGACTCAAATGAAGGTGTTGAACCATCTCAAGGATGATCAGAAGAAATAGAGTGTCACGGCAAAGGGTCTGAATACTTATGACCATGTGATATTTCAGTTTTTCTTTTTTAATAAATTTGCAAAAATTTCTACATTTCTGTTTTTTTCTGTCAAGATGGGGTGCTGAGTGTACATTACTGAGAAATAAAATGAACTTTTTTGATTTTTGGAAAATGGCTGCAATGAAACAAAGAGTGAAAAATTTAAAGGGGTCTGAATACTTTCCGTACCCACTGTATGTGCTGGAATACAGAGCCAACACAACACGTGTCCAAATAAGAGTGCAATATATTTATCTGAAAAATATTCATCAAAGTTACTTGATGTGTAAATAAATTGGTATAAAAACACATATCTTGCAGAAGAGCTCAGCTTCGGAAGATAAAATTTATAATTTTTACAAATACTTTTGGACACATTACAATCTTTAAAATATTTGCTGCACTAGAACTTTTTTTCTCCCAAAACAAAGCTTTTGTCTGCATTTTGTAACTAGTGGAGAACTAAACCAAACAAATTGCTACTTCACTATACAAGCCTACCTTTCATGGTTTTGGCGTGGGCCTCGCTGCTGCTCTCACACACCGTGTTGAGGAACTCGTCCACCTGCTTCAGAGAGAGCGAGTTGTGCAGTGTCTCCATTGGGTAGATAGAGGGCACCATGGAGCAGCCTTCGAACCCTGCAGCAGACCGGACAGACAGAAATACAGCAGATCGTACCACTTGTCCATCAGACAGGAAAAGAGGAGAAGTTATGATACTGCAGCTCTCTGTGCATGTTGGTTGTTCTCTCAATGTCATCTTGACAAGCAGATCCCAGAATTTGTAAGTCATTTTTATTTGTTAACTAGCCACACAGACTTCTAGGCTACTGTAAGGATTATTGGCTGGTATAGTTTACCTACTGTCTGGCCTCTGACTGTAGCAGCACTACACAAACTTACCAGCCAAAATTAATGTGAACAAAATATTGTTAATTTCTGTTTTTGGTTAGTAAGACCATATGAACAAAAATGGGATGTTCTGATTATTTAAAAGAGGGTGTGGACCAATTCACTCTAATTCAAAGCACATGAAAAAGTTTTCATTAACATATATACAGTATGCACGTTTGAAGTCAATCAATCAAGTTTTATTTAAAGTGCAAAATCACCAAAACACAAAAGTCAAGCACATGACTTGTATGGAAAGCGATTTGGTGTAGACTAATGTATAGCATAGGAATGAAAAACAAGCCACTGAACAACAATTATCTGGCCTGCTGAAGTGTCCTTGAAAGGAGTGGCACTTTTTTGACTGGGGTGGCTGAGGTGGGGCACTGACTTATGCGTGGGTGGCATGAAGTACATGCGTGCACACATCGAAACAGCATTACCATTTCTCATATCTACTTTAATTACTAACATTACAGTATTTTTCCTGTTTGTTATTTAAAAGATAAATAAACCAATCTAGACCATATTCTTTCAGTCCTCAAAGGAAACTGTACCTCCAAAAGTGGGCTACATACAAAAGAAATGAATGCACAGTCAGAAATACTTGTCAAATAGTTGGTGCAAACTAAAGTCCTGTGCATTAGTCAGATAGCAATCATAGTTTAGAACAATGGGGTGGCACCTGGGATGTCCAGTCTGATTTCAGGGGTGGCACACGTCCCTGTTTGAGAGAGAGTGCGAGTTGTAGACCTAATGATTAGGTGGACAATTTAAAAGACATTTGTCATTCAGGAAAAAAAAATTGTATTACAGTATTTTATCTAGTTTTACTAGATAATGGATTGAAAGTGAATTGACCGCAACCTTTGTATCGTAAAAAAGGTAGATTTAATTTTTTTTAAAGTGATTGTGTTCTGTAGTTGTGCTGTGTAGGATTGTTATGTGATTGCAATCAATCTTGTTGTACATATTTATCTTTAAAATATTTATCTTCCTTCTATAGTCCGTTTATCTAATTTTATTTTGGGCTGGTCTGTATGAATACATTAAATAATTCATGTACTGTATATTTTCTTTTAAAAAATGTCAAAAATTCTGTGTATGTGCTGAGAAACAAAACTTCTAAACACTCACATTACTGTGCTAAGGCAAGCTGACTTTCACAAACAAACTTAAAGCAAATACAATCCAGTGTGATTCAGCGCAGTTGCCAAAGAACACCATGATGAAGCGATACCATGAGGAAAAATAAGGGAATGGATGAAGGTTGAAGCAGTGCTTCCAATCCATCCATATCTCCAGAGAACATGCTGGTCAGCCATGCATTTCTCCAGGACTCATGTGCTATGACAAAAGATTCTTCCACGGCTACTCCCTAAAACAATGTGTCTAATATAACGACACAAGCGGAACAAACTGCAGTCAGCATTTAATCTACAGGAACCATTTATGGCCTTTACGGGCCAAGATATGAGTTTCCCCATTGATAATATTCATATCCAAGATTTAGTGGAGTTGCTTCGTGTTAATGCTTCTCATGGGATCATTCATGTGCAGTAAATACCACAAAACCTTTTATGGACATCAAGAAAGTTATAAATCATTTAAGAGTTGTCAAACTCTGTTCACAGTCAATATTTTGTTGCCTCAGCAGATGTGCTCTCTTGAGGTTCACTACGTGACATTTATCCTCACCTTCAACTGTTCATTCTGTCATTACTACACACTAAAGCAGGACGTGTATATATAAAAATAACATGACAGCATTTATGGCCTCTCCCTCCTCCCTGTCATTGCTGTAGCCTCTCTATGTGGATATCAAATTCAGCTCACACACCAGATGCAGTGGGAGCAGAAAACACTGATGCTACACTGCACCACTCACTCAACCGTTTCCCAACACAGGCAAACACGAAGACAGGAGGACAGGAAAGACAGTAACATTTAACAGAGCAAAGAAATAAAGTCAGGAAAGTCAATGTGACAAAGCAACACATCTCAATCTTCTCGATGCCTGCAGCAAATAAAAACATCTATAACTTATAACGGACAGTCATCTCTGCTGACTGCTGACTGTTAGGTGACACAACGTGCTAAGACGTGCTCCAGAAACACTTTACAAAAATCGGTGAACAGGCCACAAATTAATTAGCCAATTAAAATGAGGAACGAGATGATGACCCAAATCTTTCAACAGATGCTCAAATATTATCTGCCACTTGGCCAGGAAATACTTTTCAGAGTGCTGGGGTGGACAGAGCAATGCCCAGTCAGGACCTCGCCGGTGCAAAGGCCAAGTTGGTGCCATCAACACCTGACTCTCTTATACAGAGCTCAGTTTTGAGTGCATTTATTTAGATTTTCTCTATACTCACTGCTCAGGATGGAGCATGCACACAATACAGTTGGACAAGCCTAAAACTCTTCCATAGAAGGGTTTGTTTGGCTGGTCATCAAGTGTCCGTCCAGCATGCATGTCGAGCGATGAGTCCTCCCTGTGCAGATTCATTTTGCTGAAATGACTAAAGTTTGCCATATTATACCTTTTTCTAGTTCCAAAAGTGGCACAAAAGGTGTCTAATCATGTGCAAGGAAGGACTGGGGACAGACTTCAGGATGTAAAGAATCTTTTAATCTTGTGTCATTGTATAAACTGTTCCGTTATCTCTTGTTATTTGCAAGATATGTCCATTTTCTCCCATTCTTGTCTACTATCTTAAAACGTCAACATATTTTTAATGACCCATCACATGACCATTACATCATTCATCCAATCTAATGTAATTTTAGACAACTTGCTAACCCCTCCTATTGTATAAAACTGCACTTAGTTTGAAGATATTTATTTATTTTTATTTCATTAGTTCATTTTACAGGTATAATGCTCCTTTATCAGCAGAACGGAGCTGTCCTTGGCCAGATGTTAAAAAGGAACAGAATATGACATCTTCTTGTCACATACACAATATTATAAATATGCACAAACCAGCACATTACACATTCACCAATAAATAATGCCACAGTATAACAAATGGTAATTAGCTAAAATCCCCCATATATTAGGAGCCAGAAGTGTGTGTTTGGATCTAAGTGGGCAAAACCTGTTTCGATTTCATAATTTATTCATTTCTCCCTCATTCACCTCCCCCATATCTAACACAGGCGAGGGAGGTGTTCGGTAAACCACGTCAACTATTGAGGGGCCAAATAAAATCTCATTGAGCTGATCAAATCCTTCTCGTAATGACACCCCACCCACAGATCCAGTGTCACTTAGAAATGTGGCACATTAGGATCAAGGATATTCATTTCACTGTGACTTTGCAAGTATGCAGGAGAAAATGGACATTTCCTGTTTTCAAAGCAAGTACACCCTCTAGCAGACATGCAAAATAACAAAGAAGAATAGGAACATGTTCACACCTGGATGACAACATGAAATGGAGCAGGGCTGCAGATGTAACAAAATAATAGAAAAAAAAAAAAAGAATGAATGCACAGGGGGGAAACCGGACTTAAAAAAAAAAAATTGACTGCAGTAGATGCAAAGCTCAGCTGGCATTAACAGTGTCCCAATTGCCCCAACACTGGCTAGAGGGGGCTAGAGGGAGTAAGAGGAAGCAACAGGAAGTAAGTGAGAGGGGTCTGCAGAGGCTGACCGTGCAGGGATTCTTGGAGTTCCTGACCAGAATTTAGCAAAGTCTTGAGGAGGCGGTCATGGTAGGGACAGTGACGCAGGTGGTGGGCCACGGCCCCGTCCCCAGCCATGGGGGCAAACCCCCGCAGGGCTGGCTCAGCGAGAAGCCCCTGAAGCAGATGGACTACATGGAGCTCGTCTGAGGGCTCTGAGGGACGAGAGGCAGAGCAGGGAGAGAGGAAGAGAAGCGGTGTGATAGGAGCTGTGCAAAAGATGGGCACAGAGCTAAAACAGCAGAGTGGCTTTAGGACGGAGGACTGTATATGTAGAGCTGGGTGTCTGTACTTTCTATGAAGAATTTCTTTATTCATTAAGTTTTAATCTCTGACTTCATTTGATCAATACAGGTCTTGACCTTTGAGTTATAACTGAAGCAGACTAACTACACCTGAGCACAACAGTATGGCTCGACCACACACAAACAACTGACACAATCCCACCCTTCTCCATTTCAAAGCAAACAGAGTTCAAACTAAATATAACAGCAGTGGTCAATAGTATTCATTAATCTATGACCTCACAGGTTTAAAAGGAATCAGTGAAAACACATCAGAGACACAGATCTACTTCAAAACACATGTGAACCAGACGGTCTTAGGCTTTGTTCCAGATCTTTAAGACAGACTGTGCACGGTTATTTGCAAGTGATCACGTCGGATTTCTGTGTCCAGACACCACCAACCTATCCCACTTGGTTGCTGTGGTAACGACACAGTCAGTTAACTACGTACGCTGGTGAGGCAGCTTTCCAACATGAAAGCATGAGAAATAGAGAGCCATCATCTCTCCAAACAAACGAGCTGTCATGTCATGGTGCAAAACTCCTTCGTAGCGGAGTTCGTCTGATGAAACAGAGGAGTTCAGCACTGTCACTTGACAGCATGGAGGATGGATTCTGCTAAGCTGGTCTGATGCAGTATTCGGTATAATACTAAAAATTTACACAAAATTTGAAAACATTAGGTAGTATAGGCAACAACATTAACTGACTTTTGAAGATTAACAACTGACGGGTACACAGTTGCATACAGGCTATTTATGTCACTTGTTTTCATTAAAACGGCCATCCTTTTAATTACCACCAAGGGCACTGCTGAGAGTGCAACTGTGTGTACACTTGAAGAGTTTGTCACGGTCAGCCATGTTTTTTGTTCACTTTCGGCATCATGCACCACCATGCCCCTGGAACGCTTTTAGGTCGGAAGTCGAACATTTCAACTTGGAAATTTCCCAGTTCCGAGCAGTCTGGAATGCAGCATAAGACGCATCTGTAGAAATCCGATTACAATCGCATTTCATTAAATTTTTTGCTGCCCAGACTAAAGACTCAGAATCAATCTGCAAGGCCTTACAGTCATCAATAATACTGTTCAAGCACACCATCTTCAAAAATGTAGTCCAGAAAAAAACAGAATACATTCTGCTTCTCTCCAGCACACTGTGCAATGCAAAAAAAAAGTTATGAGTGAGAGAAGATGTGTGATGGTTCTTTTCTCCAGTGAGCATCATGGTATGTTGCTACTTTTCTCAGTGAGCACAATAGGTTTCCTGATGAGCTAATAACTAGATTTAAAATTCTTAAAAAAATCTCTCTATCACCAATGTCTAAATATTCTAAGTTCCAGTTCAACTTTAATTAATAGATGTGATTTGCATTGATTTTGTAAAAATGTGACCCAAATGATGACCCAAGTGACCAAAGCCTCCTACAGCTAAAAGTACAGTCGTTTTATTTCCACAATCATAATTATCTTTAAAATATGTGTATAATGGCCATTTTGAACTACCACAGTATTTTAGGAAAGTCTAAAAGTATACTCTTTAATAATGTATCATCATTACATATTATTAACAATAAAAAGACAGTAAAAATAGGTAAACAAGATAACTGCAGGTCACAAAATAAACTGAATTTGAGACTACTTGAAACAAACTATAGAAACAAAGCTCAGGAAAACCAGCTTGCATAATTAGGTTAAATGTGTTGGGATACAAAACACAAAATGTATATATTGTATTAACCCTTCTTTCTAATTAAAGTAAGGATACCACAAAAAAACCCTCCAATAATTAGTTACGTCATTTTATTACTTCTTGAGATCTTCAAGTTAATACCAGATACTAAGCCAAACCACACAGGCTACTACAGTCCAAACTGGAGTGAAACACACATAACTGTGGTTCCCAGTGGTTTGTCCACACACTTGCTGTCATTCTGCGTCATCACGTCAGATGATCCTGGTGATTGGATGACATGTAATTCCTCTTGCTGATGTACAGACAGCACTAATCAAACGGCCAACACGTGCCGGGCTGTTCCTGAGCCATTGATCTAAATCATAAATACCACTCAGTCATATCCAAATAACCTTTCAGAGCTTGCATTCAGTTCTGCGTTGTGCAGCCATAAGTGAGATCATCCATGACTGATACACAGTGGTGATACAAAACTGTCTCAAAACACATTTCAAAAACGTAAAGAGTGTGTTTCATCATACTGCAGCTTTAACAATGACAAGAAATCTTTTCAGAAAACAAGAACTCAACTCCCAGCAGCTGCTGTTTCCAAAAGAAAACTCTGCATTGAGCTAGTAGGATACTCACCAGTGACAGATGACCATATTAAAGACAGAAGACAAAATAACACCTTTTCACATATGGACTCGGGCCATGTGTGAAAGCAGCAAATTGTACATTAGCTGTTAATACTGATGAACTTCTTATTTACAGTAGGCAGTTGGCATCCACAGCTTGGCTTTACCAGTGAATTACCGTGTGAAACAACAGGTACAGCAAACACTCGCTGTCAAGTGGGATTTTAATTAACAAGAAGGATCTTTTTATTGAGCTGTAACTAATGATTATTTTCATTATTGATTAATAGGCAACAAATTATCTTTTATTTCATGAATCATTTGGTCTATGAAATTTCTGAGAAAGGTGAAAAATGCCCATTATAATGTGTAAAAATTCAAAGACGATGAATTCAAATGTCTCGTTTTGTCTGACCAATGGTCCCAAAAAGTACAGATATCCATTGCCATTTATAGAAACTGAGAAAAGCACCAAATGCTCACACCGGAGAAGATGAAATCTGAGAGTTTGGGGCATTTTTGAAATTTTGATGAACAAAGTCAATTTTGGTGATACAAAAACATTTAACTCAAATTAAATTAATAGGCTGAATAAAGATTAATTTGGTATAAGTGAATAATTCCAGTTAAACACACCAATCCCTTGTTTTGTCCTTGGGTGAGAAACAGACTATATATAGCCCAAACTAAGAAATTACCAGAATAAATGATTTTAAACTAACAAAAAAAGTGCAGATGAGGATCTCTTAGGATATGTGCACATAATCACCTACACGAAGAAATATATCTGAGGCAGCAGATATATTTCACTTAAGGCACATACATTGATCCGTTGAAGAAACAGCAGGATCAGAGAGGCAAATTAAACAGGAGCAGGCAGAGCAGGTGCTGTTAGAGGTGAGAGCTGAAAACAACACAAGGTACAACAAACACCGAGGGTGCGTGGTGAAACAGAAACTCCTTCAGAATTTTTAGCATTTGAAAATCGTGGAGACGTTCAATGTAATTACCGCAGCCAAACGTCAACACCCCCCCCCCCCCCCCCAAAAAAAGAAAACACAGGAAATGTTTCCCACAAAAAGATCATGCAAGATAAGAAAAACTGGAGGAGTGTCGAAATAAACTTGAATAAAAGCAGACATACCATTAGTCGGATGCCTGGCAAACGACACAGAAAATCTCTTTACTGCCGGCATAGAGAACAGCTCTGAGGAGATAAGAAAGGTAACTGGTATTACTGGGACTGCTGGTACCTGTGTCTGCCTGTTTGTTTGTATGTGTTTTTACATGAGGGGAGGGGAGGGGGGAGACAACCAATATGCGTGAAACTGAGGGTCATCTCTGAATAAAGAAAGAGGAGAGGCTATCAGTGAAGGTGAATGGAAAGCTTGTGGAGTAATTGGAGTAAATGATGGATGTTCTGGCTCAACAGTAAACATGCAGGAGGGGTGAGAATCCAATATCCTTTTTCTTCCTTTCCTTGGACTGTTTTCCTTCACTACTGACTTTCTTTATAGCTTTAGAGTTACATGAGAAGATTGACATCGCTCTCGTGTCTGTACAGTAAATATGAAGCAACAGAAAGCAGCAGGTTAGCGCAGCTTGGCATAAAGACAATCTGCCTTGTTAAACCTCTTAAACTCACTTATTAACACATTATTTGTCATTTGTGTAATCCATTCAAAACTCATGTGCCCCTGGATAAATTTAAGTCAAATATTCACTCTCCTTTTAGCTCTGCTTTTGGTCTCCTCACCGTCTCTGGGTGAAGTAGCTGGCTCTTTAGCAGTTAGATGCTCCACTATGTTCACCAGCCAGTATCTAACGGATCTGTTTGCAGTTTGATACTGAGCAGGTAGTGTACAGTGGGGACTTTAGAGCTTTTATTTTGCTGAAAATGTCTGCCTGCTGCAGCTAAAAACAAGGCAGATGAGAGCAGTGAACCAAAGAAGTAAAGTTGCACACTGAACAGCTAAACGATGAGCTGAAAGATGCAATCCGGCTCCGTAGAGTTGAGGGGAAAAGCAGATTCAGGTGATAATTCTGGGCCCATCACTACAACTGACCCATTTCACATACAAGTAATCATGTGACCATAGTATATAAATAATAAAATATTGATTATAGTTTGTTTAAAGTAAAGTAAGTAACAAATGGTTGAAAGAACTAGCTTATGCCACATTAAGTGGTAATAGTAGCAATGCAGCCTTGACCCAACCTAATGAAAAAAAACACTGGTGTTTAGGCTTGGTCTCTTTTCCAAGATCATAAAATGATTGTCAGAATATCCACTTTTCTATAATTAATAGTGTTAAATTACAACAGTTTTAAAAGTCCATTCAAAATAACATATCTGAAACATAACAAGTGGTGTTGATGTTAAGGTCTGAATTCAAACCAGAGGTGAAGTTTCTTTCACATTTCCAGTAAAAAGAATAACATGTTGTCCTGATGGAGCCTGTCTTCCCTTAAATGAACAGCACTGACGTCAGTCCAAACCCTCACGTCTCAGAGAGCATAACATGACGCAACAGAACTGAGGAAGGAAAGCATCTGTTTGATTCTGGCGGTGTGTAGCTTTGCAGTCAGAGTGACACCCGGTGGATAAACTGAACAGCTCAGTCTCCTGTATTTAAAACCCGCAGTGGCAAAAGTAAATCCCCGCAGTTTTTGCAGATCCATATGCATACATATAACTTGCTAGTAAAATGATCTGCTGCTGACTTAACCTAATTTAAAAGTAATGAACAAACTGGTGTAACTAAAACAGCTGTGACCATGAGAATGATATACAGTCCAGATGTTTGGCATAATTAAACCTGCTATAAGGACCCCTGGTGGCTGTAAAAACAGTTTGCTTGTACCATTACCAAGTTACCAACATGAAACTGAGAAAAAACGGTGGGGAGGGAGAATGCGACTGAGGATTATTTAAAAGGTGGATTATTGGGTCTTGAAAACATATCTGTTCCAAATAACAGGCTGAGTTTCTTAATGTAAGGATTACCGTATATTGTGATTAATGAAAAAAGCCAGACTTCTGGCTTCCAGACACAAAAATAATTTACTGTGGATTATGAAATTAAATTCCCTGTGAGAGGATATGGTACGAACTGCAAATCAACATGCACAGAGAGAGAGAACATTTCAACAAATTCAAACCCGAGCAGAAATTGGTGTGATCAGTGAGTGGACATGCTGATCTGAAAGAACACTGATCACCAATAGCTGCAGTACATCACACAGTCTAAGGTTGCATGCTCAGCATTTGCTGCACAGTCAATCCTTCCACTGTCAAATTAGTCACCTAATCATGCACACTGCAGAATTAATCACTCAAGAAATGTGATGCAACAGATTGAAATTGCTGGTTTGTTTTACGAGGGGAAGAAAGAAGTGAGCTTTGATGAAAAAAATAATTTAAATGACAACACTGAATGTCCCAAAATCAAAGTATATGAAGCTTAGAGAGCAAAAAAAGAAAAGAGAAGAGATTCTAAAGCCAGGAAAAGATTTTGAACCTTGAGTTGAAAAGAAACTCCTTTCTGGGGGGAAGACAGACGGTGGTGTGAACGTACCAAACATGCCAATCTGGCACGGCAGACTGCCGGGGGACAGGGGTGGTTTTCGGTGGTGGTGGTGGTGCGTGCGGACGTAGTCCCGCAGGTTGGGGGCGCTACAGGACACCCCAAGGGCGGAGGCACTGAAGAGACCAGAACAGTGCAAGCCTGTGTGAGGAGCCGGGGGGGGGGGAGGTGTGCGGGATGAGTATTAGTTTTTATTACACACCATGCCATTATTCATAACAAACTGTTGCTATGGGGAGATTTTGGCATGAGTGTGTGTACATTTCAAAGAATGTACACCTGCGTGAAAACCCTGTAACTACAGTGTGGGTGATTTCATCCTTTAACTTCAGTTTAAAAAATGTTTTTCAGGATAAACTAAAATTTGTTTCTAGACAATCTGAAAACAACAAAACCTGACCTGCAAGCTACAAGGTTTTCACAACAGTGATTGCATCTATGAGACCTGTGCATGTGTGCATAGGTGTCAACAAGACCAAGAGCATACAGAACGTGTGTGTTTTGTATGCAAAAAACAGCAGAGGCTTGACGAACAGGCCATGAGTGGAAAAGTTTGTTTCAGACCCCTGCTGTGCACAAACCCTCTGAAGTTGCAGTTGTTGGTGAGTTAGCCAATTCTCATATACATTACATTTCTCATATATTTTACTTTAATATTTTAAATTGATGTTGAGTTTACAGACAACACAGAAGAGGCACTAAACATAATTTTCAAAGTCGACAGTGTCAACTCCTCATTTCTCTGTTCTATAAAAACAGTATGAAGGTATGAAAAGCAGCTCACTAACAGAGGTCGTCCCTGACACCTGCTGTGCTACTCTTTGACCTGTGCAGTTGCTGTTGTTGGGTTGAACATGGAGGGATTTCTCAGCAGCCTCACACTTACTATACATAAAAAAAAGGCTCCACTCAGAGAATACCCAGAGGCTTTAAATGGTGCTCCTTTGATGTCGCGCAAACACAGAACTAACTGCTGCTTTCAGACTTGTGATAATGAAGCACTGAGTGACAGGTTGATTAACACATTTAGAGATAAGTAGCACTACACACATACTGCCCTTTCACCTGCTCTTGTTTACGTTGTTTTGTTTGCCTGATGTTTACAATTACGCTTGATTGTATCTGAGATTTTTTCATACTGGAAAGGACTTACAATAGGCTTTCTTCCACTCCTGCACACATCCATTTAGTTTAATTATTTCTTAATTGCGCAGACAAAAAGAAATAAACTGCACTGAATACAAAGTCTGTAAGTAGTGAACCAGTTCTAACATAGCCGAGTGTGATACACTCCCAATGAAAGACATGAGACAGAAATTGTTTCCACAAAATGACTCCACTCCCTGTTCTCACACTCATGGTTTTATAGTTTCCTCCATGTGTCTTGATTTAGACGACAGGCTTTCATGCTTGTGTAAGTGTCACTATGTTAGCAGATTGTTGGAGGTTACATGCCTTTCGAAACTGTACATACAGCAAAACAAGAGTCCTTCAAGGGTTCTTTCATTAGGGTCAGTTTGAGGCAATCAGACAGGTAAAAAGACCTCTGATTCTGCCGATTTGGAACATTATTAGGGGGTCAGGATGAACTATCCAAACAACTAACTTGAGGATTCATTGTAGCACTAAAAAGGGTTCTGCTGGAGGATGAGCTTAAAAGCCAACACTTTTAAGAGATTGTGTTGTTTCATGTTGGTTAAGAGGTTACCAGACAGCATTAAAAACCTATTTAGACTGCAGTTTATGTACCATACTGCAGCTGATAAATATATAACGGAGACCTTCATGTCTAATTGCCACAATTTCATATCATTCAGTATCAATAATTATCATGATAAATGTCAAATCCTTATATCTTTCAAGTTTAAAGGCTGTTTTTTGCTCCTGAATGAAAGTTGAAGTAACCAGATGGTTAATTCGGGTTTTAAACTATTCTTTAAGGATCAGAACATGAGAAACAATAAAAATAATAAAATAAATATCTTAAAGAGGTGGTGTTATGCTTTTTGGCTCTTTCCCTCTTCTTTATTGAGTTATATACCTTTTTTGTGCATGTAATAGGTTTGCATAGTGAAAAAGCCCAAAGTCCACCCCAAAGGGAGTTCCCATCTCCCACAGAAAACACTGCTCTGAACTGCTGGAAAACAGCACTAGTAGTCCAACCACTTCGCTTCCATCCCTGTGACGTCACAGAGATGGAAGCTAAACGCGCCTCATATAAGGCTCGCCAAGTTGCTAGTCCGACACGCCCTCAAAAACACCGGTGAAAAAACAGTGAGCTGCAGCACACAGCTCTCCTGTACAGTTGTTACTGTGGTGTAGAGAAAGAGCTCAGTTACAACTTCATGGATGAAAGATACTTTTGTTACAGTGTGACAACTCACCACTCTGAAACTCTTGCTCCAGTCTATCTTGCCAAGCTGTTCGGCAACATGTAGCCTACAGCTGAATCGAAGCGGTTTACCGGCTTCTCGCGACCCGCCCTTCTCTGCTTCTGATTGGCTAGTAGTCCTTAACTAGGAACTGTGCATGTGAAACTCCCAACAAAGATCATTTAGAGACAAGATGTATCACTCCATAGCTAAAACGAAGCGTTCAACACAGGGTGAAAAGAGGAGCTGCAGCAATGTGCAGTATGACAAAAAATGTGTTTAAAAAATTTTAACTATGTAAACCCGTTCTGGTACAACCCCTAAATAGGGTTTTGAACCTGAAAATTAGCATAATACCACCTCTTTAATAGAAAAATTGCAGAAAATTGAGAAAGTGCTCATTTGTTCGTGATTCAAATTAATTAAAATCAAACACTTAATGAACATTTGTTATATTGTTATTAAGGCAAATTATTTCATAGTAATAATAATTATATTTATATTTCTAATTATAATTAGGTTTCCCAATTCTATACAAACTAAATCTACGCAGGTTTTCAGTATTTACTGTTTAAAAATACTTGATTTTTGAGTCTGCTGTTGATGTACATTACTATCCCTAAGAAAGCAGCTACTCACATTTAAAAATGTATCTATAGCTTTCACTTTGTTTACTCGGCAGCAGCCTTCCAATATTGCATTGGTGGCGTATTGTATAATGTCTAGTTGGTACAAAAAGTTCGCTTTTTGATTTTTTTGTATGCTAACAACAAAAACTGTGCACTATGACAGTTATTATATAATACATACTGTCTAAAATTAGTATATAGCATAAAATTGGGACACAGGTTATATTTAAAAGTCCGTTGTGCAATATTATTCAATTTAAAACATACATCAATAACTAGTAGTAGTAACTAGAGTCTAGTAACTATTGATTTTCAGAAATATGGTTTGTTTCCTGTAAAGACCTCCGAAATAAGAGATAGAAACACCTACAGTATGTTCCCTATGTTGTCACATTATCACCTAGCAGGTATAACGGTACGGTACTTGCTCGAACGCTATGTGACACCAGAGATCCTGTATTTGGCTGTCAAAGCAACTCTGGCCATTGACCTCTTGCCTACATAGTTTGGAGTCTGATCCTGTTTGGCTGCTGCTAAGCTAAGCTGGGATGGAAGCTATGTGACCGTTGGAAAAATGGGAGGGGGGGGGGGTGGAAAGAAAAACAGAAAACATAAATGGAGAGACAGAGAGAGAGATATATGGAACGGTGGGAAGGTGAGGGAGAAGTCACAGCCAGGGCTTGTGACGAGGGGGAGGATCAGTGATGACAGCTGTAGATAAATGTGTTGTGAGATCGGCGTGTGTTGGTATAAACTCACTCTCTCTCTCTCTCTCTCACCCCCCCCCCCCCCCTCCCCCCCCTCCCCCTCCTCCCCCTCACACACACACACCCAACCAACCACAAATGAGGTGCCCACCTAGGCCACTGGTTGGTTTGATCTCAGGAGACTGGCGCGAACAGGAGGGGAAGAGTCGGTGGGATGTGCAGCCTTTGGAGGACTGGCTGGGAGAGGTCTCTGAGAGGACCTGAGTGGGGCCATGGAGACCAGGGGTTAAGATTGAGACGGATGCCACAGTAAATCAGGGAAGTGATGTCTCCCATTCACTTAAACAAAATCATAGCACGTTTGGTATAAAATAAAAGAACAAAGAAAAGTATATAAATGCTCAACTAAAAACAGACTAGAACTACCAAGTGGAAAAAATTTAAATAAATAAACAGACAGGATCAGTTTTAACATTACACTCCTGAAACACCAAGACAACGGTTTGGTACCTCCATGGAGCCAGTCTTGCGGTTGCGGATCATAGGGGACCTTCGCTGGATGTTGATTGGCTCAAAGACAGGAAGTGCCTGGTCTGGCTGGTCCTGGGAGAGGTCCTCCAGACTGCCCTGATTGGGCTTTTTGTCTTGATTCTGATTAGTCAGAGAACACAAGAAGGAAATTATTTCATATACTTGTCCATGGAACCACATGCACAGGCACGGATAGCAAAACCCACCTGAGCTGCTCCACATGACAAACTGAATTAAACATGTTGTAAGGCTAGCAGAATATATTGAACTCAATGATTTGTCTTTATCCTACCTACTCGGTGACAACTGAAGTTTTAGTTTTTACCTCACTAATATGCAAAATGTACACCGGAAGATCCTATAAAATCTGATCTGAAGAAAACAATCTGTTTACAACATGAGCTTCAGGTGTCAAGTTTCTGTAATGTATTATTATAGAGTTAATCACAGTCAAATGAATGTGTCGGTCAACATAATGACCTGCATACAAGTGTGGTACGCCCGCCATTATGTAAAAGCTTTTATTACAGTACATGTGCACATGACAAATGCTTGCTGCACTGAGCAGCAGTGACAGTACATGATTATTTAAATGTTTTTTCTTGCAGAGTTGGATGTTATGTTTTCACCATGCACTCTCTTTGTATGTTTGAATGTATTTTCAAAAACTTTGTCAAAAAGTTAGTAAGATTTTGTTTGTACAGTAACAACTAACTTCTTAAAATAACTAGCCAATTGATGTAACACCCCACAGCAAGGCATAGTACACCTGAATGTATCACCATACCACTTTGTGTACATGTAAGCAGAGAATATCAGGCAAACCCTCCACTCTTGATAAGTCACAGCAATTACACTGAACAAAATTATAAACGCAACACTGTTTTTGCCCCCAATCATCATGAGCTGAACTCAAAGATCTAAGACTTTCTCTATGTACACAAAAGGCCTATTTCTCTCAAATATTGTTCACAAATCTGTGTTAGTGAGAACTTCTCCTTTACCGAGATAATCCATCCACCTCACAGGTGTGGCAAATCCAGATGCTGATCGAACAGCATGGGTATTGCACAGGTGTGCCTTAGGCTGGCCACAATAAAAGGCCGCTCGAAAATGTGCAGAGAAGGAGAAGTGCTCACTAACACAGATTTTGACAGATTTGTTAACAATATTTGAGAGAAATAGGCCTTTTGTGTACATAGAGAAAGTCTTAGATCTTTGAGTTCAGCTCATGATGAATGGGGGCAAAAACAGTTGTGTTGCGTTTATAATTTTGTCAGTGTATTTAACTTGGGTCCCCTGGAGAGCTCCTATCTTTAATTAAAAGCCCCTTTCCATTGCATGGTACCAGCTCTACTCTCCTTTTTTTGGTTTTTGTTTTTTTTTGTGGAAAAGTTGTACCTGTACCTGCCAGGTACTCTTTCGTATAACCTCCTTTGAGGTTCCAAGCGAGCTGAGGCGATACTAAAATGTGATGTGAAAACACAGCAGACAGCTGGTAGTCAGAGAGAATCGTTACTATTCACTGCGTCATCATTTCACGCGCCAGACAGAGGCCAGCTACAGAAAGTTTTATATTTTACAATTTTCATACGTTATTTCATCACTAAATCCACTTCTGAGAAGTTTTGAGGTGAGAAATCAACTGTGTAGATTTCAAATATTGACAGTTTTACGAAAGTGATGGCCGAACAAAAATCTGCTTGAACGTTTTCGGAGTTGAGGAGCTCCACAAGTGGCTGCGGGGAAGCCTGCTGCAAACCGCGGGAGGAGCTTGCGAGGCCGGCCAGCCGCTCACAGAGCCTTCTGGTCCCACTGTCACAAAGACCGCTGCAGTAACAACGGCAGAGGAAAACACAGCTAATGTGTAATATTGACATTAACATTTCAACTTAAAATCAAGAGGCAGAGCTGTATGTGGGTTGCTGGTGTCTGTGTCGCATTGAACATTATAAAGCGGCAGTTGTGTATGGTGTTGCTATGACAATCAGCTACATTGAGGGGTACTATCACTGGGTACTATCTGCAATGGAAACCCAGGACGGTGGGCCAAAGCTGAGTCGAGTCGGTACTGGTAATGGAAAAAACGGCATTAGATACAACCACATTCACCAAAAAGTGGGACAGTGGTAAAAAGGCAGCCCAATACCCACAAAAATACAGAGATGACTGGCTACATTATTCATCCCATTACAGATACAGTTACACAATTTTATCTTCTGATGTGAAAAAAAGTTGCTGATGGAGCAGAAACTGACAAATAAATCAAACTGATACCGTATGTTTTCTCAAACATAAACACATTCTGCTATGGGATTTGCTCTTTTTGATGTAAAGATGATTGTCTCAAGATTTGTAATCTAAAAAACTGCACAACTTTAGAAGGCCAACCGAGGGCCATTCAAATGGTACAGCACCGTACAGTACTGGAAAAAATGCAAGGCAAACACACAAGTTCACACACCTCTGAGGAGGCTGGGCGGAAGCCGAAGCCAAGAGGTACGTTCTCCTCATCGTCACACCCTTTGACTCCTGGACTGAAGTGAAGCTCAACGTGAAAACGCTCCTCTGAGGAGGGGTCCTGTCCATGACACAGACATATCACAAAGACATAAAGAAATCCATACATAAATATGCAGTGGTAGAGCTGACAATATAAATAAGAAGGATGCGTTTACTGCCGTTATGAAGCTCTATGCAAGCTGACCTTATTGTTGTCTTCATACAGCATAATGACTATCTGTGTCATGTAGTTTAGTTCAGTCACAGCACTTAAGTAGTCCATTGCCTGTTTCCACTGCTGGTCTTTCTCATCCTGATACATGCACAAAAACACACACACACACACACAACACATGCAAACCTTAGACATACATACATGACCAAACACCCATATCAAATAAACCACCTGATATTGTGCAAAGACAAAAATAAAATCACAACACCATGAAACTAAAGGGGTTATGTTTGAGACATTGGCCTGTATTTACCAACAATGAGGTAATAATGCCCATAACATTTATAATGTGGCTAAAATTTTAAGTATGAAAATATATTATGGTGACAATGTATGTAAATTATGAGACAAAACTATATTACTAATATAACAAATATCAAATATTTTTGTTGTATTATGTTGAACTACAGACTATTTATAATCCAATCTGCTGATATATTCATTATACCAACCAAGTGGACTTCAACTCCAAAATTTATCTCCGTCCTATATGGACATTTACCTGCTTGCAGTTGGGGCAACTTTAAACATAAGCATCCATTTCTAGATCTACTCTTATTTTGGTAATTCATCATCACCATTGCTTAACAAACAAATTGTCAGAGATGATAAATTTAGAGCGTACATCCAGCAGTCCTCCGTAGCGGAAAACGCTGAGCAGGGAGTGAACATGGCTCTCGCTGGTGAAGTAGAGACGTGTGCGGACGTGACGACCAGGAGACATCACGCCACGAGAATACCTGAACATCAGGGGACAGGCTTATCAGTCAACACAACACCATTAATCTCTATAAACATACACAAACACACACACACTGTATTAATGTGCTTAACCTAAATACATGTAGTTTGTGTGTGCTTCAGCGGCGGCTTGTATTCTCACAGGGGGTGCAGCTTGTTAACGGCCTCGTCCTCATGGGTCCTCTGCAGGTCCAGTTGGATTTTCTTCATTAGAGGAACACAGTAAGCCTGAGCAATATCCAGTTTCTCTGCTTTGGTGATGCCATACTCCTGATAGGAATGACATGAAAAAAAACAAACATTTGAACGTATATATTAACTTTGAATCTAAGTATTTACGGACATGAGGGAGCCTTATCTCAGCATATTTTGGGGGCAGAAGGCTACAGTAACAGAAACAGTATCCCACATCTCAGAGTGAACACATATAATAAGTGACACATTCATGCATGGAGGGCTTCTGTGACTTTCCAAAATTATGCTGCAGCACTTCCAAAATTATCTTGTTTTTTTATTTCCTTATAACTGACAGTGTTTTACTGTTTATGCTGCATACTTTATGGTGTATTTGATTTTCACTGCTGAGTCACACTACCTTTTTTGGTGCTACATTTACCACTGGGTTCAATAAAAATTGATTTTATGCACAAAGGGAAAAATTGCTGGTTTCATGAACACCATTTAATACGATAAATGTGTCAAATTATCAGCCAAATGCCTTCTGGTACAATTCTCTAATGTGAACTATTTGTTAAAATAAATCTGACATTCCTCAATTCCTCCAGATAGATAAAGTACATAATTTAACACTATTAGTTTTCCTTTCTGGCAGGCACACAAGTTTTATAAATTCATTATTCCAATATTACAAAATAATTCAGGACTAATGTGAAACTTCTGTACAGTTAAGGCGTGCTATCTTCTACGACTATGACTAAATGTGCTACAAAGCTAAATGACACTGTTCTCTTTTAACCTGTGGTATAACTATGTCAGCCAGAGCACGGGACAGTCTGAACAGCTCCAGTGTGTCCTCAAGTCCAAGCGAGGCGTTGTGCGTTGAGTCGTATTTGATACAGTCATAGATGTCCGGGATCTTGCTGATGTCATAGCGGCCGTTCTTCATGCGAAAGTCTCTCTCCAGTTTGGACCAGCGCTGCAGCATCAGCTCCAACGTCTCGCTGTGGTAAAGCTGCAGGTCTGGGGAATAGCAAAAGATGACATTAATCGTATGATCTTCTTCAAAATGTTAAAACAGGTAATCACTTCTGAAAACACACTTGACATTTCACTACACATTTTAACTTTTTCAGTTTCTGTCTGACTCATGCAGACACAAGCCTACAGACTAAACCAACAGAGTAAAACATGCAGCCGAATATTTTTTCTTCGGTACACCTGAACCTGTATACAGGATGAGGTACAGCAGTTTCACGCTACCTGAAGATTTGGGGTCCTCCAGTCTCTTGCGGATCTGCGAGGTAAGACTCTGGATGAGGGTGTACACCTTGTCACAGGTTTTGACTGGATTCTGTATGATCTTCATTGAGTTCACCAGCGATGGGCTGCCAGTTGGGGCCAACTGGGACACAATAGAAAAGAACGAAATAGGTAACAAGTTCTATAAAACAAAACAAAACATCAAAAAATGCAATCAGGAAGGACTTAAAAAACCTAGCGCAATACATGCACTTTTTAATGCATTTTTAATTTTAGGCATTCAGCTTTTGACTTCAGTGGTGAAAGAAGTACTCAGATCCTTTACTTAAGTAAAAGCAGAAATACCATAGTCTAAAAATACTCTGTTACAAGTAAATGTTATTTAAGTAAAGGTAAAGAAGAATTAGTATCAAGTATCAAAAGAACTCATTCAGAAGAATGGCTCTTTTCAAAGTGTAACATCTGTTTTTATCACTAAGAAATACACGTAAGAGCTTTTTAATATTGTAGCTCGTCAATGTGGAGCCAATTTTAGATACTTTGGATAATACTGCATCATGTCGTTTAACTGTTTTAAATGTCACAGTAACTAATAACTACAACTGTCAAACACATGTAGTGTAGTAAAAGTACAATATTTCCTCTGAAATGTAGTGGAGCATGAATGTCAAAATTGTACTTAAGTACAGTACTTGAGTAAAGTGGTGGTGGATGTTTGACATTGTGAGGTGGTCCTGATAATCTAAAATGATCATGTGACGAAGCTGCAGAAAGAAATGAGCAATCAGAAGAAAAATAAGCGCTAAAGTAAAAGAGTTACAAGGAATTTATTATACTACAGGCATCTAACATGTACTGTCTTTGGCTCTTTAATGCATTAATTATTCCACTGGGTTCAGCTTGAACATTATTCTGTTTTCCACAAGAAATATCATCAGTAAGAGACTTGTACAACATGTTTTCTTTGGAGAAGTTAAAAAATCTTTCAAGAATGAAGACTTGAAAAGCACGTCCAACTGTTTAAACTGAACATATGGAAGCTTACTGGCAAATGGGAAATTGCACCAGTAGGGATGCACTGAATGTTCGGCCCCCAAAATTAATCAGTCGAAAATAGCAAAAAAAGCTCTTTCGGTGTTCAGACTAATAAGTCATAAGACCGAATAAATTTACCGAACAATTACGTCGGCATGTCGGCAGTGTGGAAGCGAAGTGTCAGAGAAAGACGCAAAAAATCACCGTTTGCAGACACTGTTCTGCTGAATTGTCTCCTAGCACATCCACTCCATCTGTGGCTGACTTCTTAGAAAAGGCAACAAACAGTCTGACCCACTTTGAGTGTTTCCGTCACTCGTAAATCCACTGAAACGGACCAGAGCGAAGCAAAGACAAGTGTTGCAGTATGAGAGTCCTACCTGAAGGGAGGCTATGAAGTCTTCATGTTATGATATGAGAACCACATACAACATTATTTATCACGTTGAGTCGGACTTCATGAATTTAGCCCGAGGATACACATGTGACAACATCTGGTTTTCAAAATAAGGTGACTATACAGTATGGAAATAAGATTAATTGGATTATATTCACATAAAGTAGCCTATAAAACATATTACATGTGTCCATTAAAAGTAAATGGACACATGTAATTTACTTTACTGGACCCTCTTGGGCCTCGAACCCACCTCCCAGTCTCTCCAAATCCTGTGAGAAACACATGAGTAAAAAGCTCATTTTGACTATTTAATTTATTCAATGGTTAAAAAAAAAAAAAAAAAGCCTAAATATATGGAAAAAATGTGAATGTACTTGTTCGGTATTAAGTATTGGGCAAATTTTTATTATATTCGGTTTCAGCTTCGGCCAAGAGTGCATCCCTATACACCAGGCACCGTATGAAATAATAAATTTTTTATATTTTCATTTCACTATTTCTGGTTTTACCTTTTGATAGTCGTCCAGTGTATACTCCTGGTCCCTCTGCATGATTTCATGCAGCCTGGCCTTCACCTTCTGCTGGCAGTCAGTCAGAGAGTCGCTGTCGCTATCCAGCAGTCCGTTCATGTTAGCACTCTTCACCATCTGAACCAGGATCGGAGTCAGCTCCCCCTCTAAAGCCAGCAGACCCTGCAGGGAAACCACAGAACCTGAACTGAAGTTATGTAACCCAGGCCCTGTGAGAGAAATCCATACAGTACATGCAGAGTAAACTTGATTCGTTTCTGCTATAGTCAAGTTTAATAAGGGCTCTCCCTCATTTTTCCCCTCAGAGAACCTACGGTTTTAGAAAAACCATGGAACCTTTAACCTTTCAAGTACCTTGATTTTCTTTATTGTGGATCAGCAGCTTCTTAAAGGATCATTTTGGTGTTTCGTGCAGAAAGACAAGGGTGGAAACCTGTGAAGAGTTTGTTGTGTACATAGAGGAACTGCTAGTAACTATTTCCTATTTCTATTTTCCTAAAAAACTCTGATCTCCAACTCTGACTCATATTTCAACTGTCATCTTCCTGCAACAACTCGCCTCTCATTAGATTTCAGAGCGAGATTTGTCCTTGAGCGAGACTTCTGTTTCTGGTTAAAAACAAAAGGTGTTACTCGTAGAATCCTTTCCCTGACGTTGTCAGACTGTTATGACAGTCCGAGTCTGTCAAGAAGTATGGCCGGCTGAAGCCATCAACTACTCGTCATTTTGACACCAAAATATATGAAAATAGGGTGAAGGTTTAAAAATACCAAAGTTATCCTTTAAAATGTGAAGTCTTGGAGGTATTTACACAGAAAAACCTGTTTTTACAGTAATGAAGAAAATTCTTGTGAGCTAGTCAATCGGCCTGAACAGTATCACAGTATTATGGTATGACATAGTGTTTACAAATCTAGACGGGATTAGATTCCAGCTCTTTTTATTGAACGGATATGGAGATGTTGTATTGAGCTTATGTATTTTGTACTGTAAGCCCTCAACATAGGCGGGTGAATACAGCCCAAGCCTACTAGTTAACTCTTATTGATGAAGAAGGTTTCAGGCAACTCAGCATGTCTTCAGCAGAAATAGTCATTGAAACTTGAGCAAGGAGAATGGCAAAGGCAGTACAACACAGTGTAGTGCCAAAGCAAATCTAAAAGATACATCCTGGCGGAAAGTATTTATCTTCCGTGAACTACAGAGATTTACTATGTGTCCAGATAAGGTTATTATTCACCTATTGGCTCAAAACAAGACACTATGCTTACCTAAGTTAATCTAAAGTCATGTTGTGTGTCATTCAAGTCACATTTTCTACATAGATACAGCCAGTCAGTCTGTATAAAACAAAAATAAAGATAATCTTGACCTTGGGTTACCTAGGAGATGGACCACAGGGTTCGGCCTTAATCAGGCAGCTGCGTCAGTCGGTAAACCAAACAAACAGAAAGTTTGACTGATTGTTTTGGAGAGTCACAGGCTGTCACCATTGGCTTACTTTAGCTCAGCAAATGATCCTAATGTGACCTGGGGAAACCTTGTTTGACATTACCCTTATGAAATGAAAATTCCTTCAGTTTGACAAAACTGTGTTTCAAGACCTTTAATGCTTAAAATACTTTCCAATATTTTATTCTGCATTTTGCACAACTGCTCAAATCACATTTTATATTATCTCAAGTAGAGCTGAAACAATTAGTAAATTAATTTATCAAAATGAAAGTGTATCTGTGTTTATTTTGGTCAATTGTTTGTAATTGCCAACAATTTGCTTGTTACATCTTCTCAAAGTGATTGAGAAGAACGTGACTGAAATTTCCACATTTCTTTGTCTTATGTGAACTAAATATTTCTGGGTTTTGGACAAAACAAGCCAATTGAACACATTATTGGGACATTATTCACCATTTTCAGACATTTTATAGACAAAATGATGTTCGTCAGATTAATTGAAAATAATCCTTAGTTGCATACTACAGCATAACACAATGTACTTGTACACAATTATCTTCAAAATAACAACAGCAATTTTATCCGTATCAAAAAACATCACACACGGCACTTAACAAGTATACATTATTCCACCAGTGTTTCCCCCTAATAATTAAACTATGCGCTACAAATGTTTTCACTCGCACACTGTGGGAGCACGGCAACACTCAATACTTGGCTCGCTTCCTCTCATCGTTCTATACAAAACATCTACGTGACAGATGCTGTTATAACAGCCTAACTCCTGTAAGGAATCAGGAGGTGCGTAGTGAGTGTTTGATTGTCCGAGCGGCAGAAAGTGACGGTGTTGTTTACAGTGTGTCGGCTTCTCAAGACCAAGAAAAGTCTGTTGTTTCCCCACCTGCTGAAAAAGTGAAGCCTGTTAGCACTAAGTTAGCTAATATCCCCCCTCCCCTTCAGACTGAGCTGAGCAGGAAAGCTTCAACAGCAGGCTGCGTCTCTTGGCTGCTATGTAACTTAACATTAGCTCAATAGAAAGTAACTAATAGCTGTATTTTATTACTGCCTACTTGTCCTACTTGTTCTATCATGTTTTTATCAACTTAGAAATATAGCTAAAATTCGATCTATGTTAACTTTTAAGGACACCGAGACCATTTTACACGCCTTCATCTCATCACGCCTGGATTATTGCAACAGCATTTTCACCTGTTTAACCCAAAAATCTATTGATCGACTCCAGACTGTCCAGAACTCAGCTGCCAGGCTTTTAACCAGAACAAAGAAATATGACCACATTACTCCTATTTTAGCTTTATTACACTGGCTCCCAGTATGTTTTAGAATTGACTTTAAAATTCTATTGATCACTTTTAAAGCTCTTCATGGCCTCTCGCCTTGTTATATTTCTGACCTTTTAGTCCCATACGCACCAGCACGTACCTTGAGATCCTCGGGCAGAGGTCTGTTGTCTGTTCCAGAGTCTCGACTGAAAACTAAAGGGGACAGAGCGTTTGCTGTCAGGGCCCCGAGGCTCTGGAACAGCCTGCCCGAGGAAATCAGGTCGGCTGAGTCAGTGAACTCTTTTAAGTCCCTTCTTAAAACATACTTTTATAGGAGAGCCTTTCCCGATCATATTTGACTTTATTTTATCCCTTTTATTTTATTGTATTTTACTAATTTTATATTAAATTTTCATGCTCTTATCTTTTTTTTTGTATTATTCTTTACACTTGTTAAAGCACTTTGTAACTTGTTTTTGAAAAGTGCTCTACAAATAAGGATTATTATTATTATTATTATATTGTCCAGTATTGAGAACATCAGTAACAATCTGAGAGTAAACTGGTGTAACGTTAGCCTGCAGCTCTGTCCTGTACAGACTGGTTCAATTATTTTTCAGATGAAAGAGTGGTTGTTAGGAAAAGAAAGGCCGGTGGTGACTGGAGGAGCTGAGGTTAGTAAAGCAAATTAGTGATGCAAACTAGTCCTTTTAAGCTAATGAGTAGAGGTTTCTTTTTGGATTTTAATGTGCAAATAAAATGCACCTCAGAAGGGAGGTTTCTCATGTTGCACACAAAAGGCAAAAAAAAAAGCAAAACATAAACAATCGTATCTATAACGATTCTGAGGTCATATTAACAGGGTTTTAGGGCGTGATGTCCAAAACATGCTGAGCAATAAATGTTAAATCACTGAAGAGCATCATAACCAAACAAATAACTTTCCCCAAATCTAAAGTTTGTAGTTCCTCCCCAGTTGACTGATCTTTTGCTGTTGGTTTTTTATTATCTGCTCTAGCTTTTCCAACTCTTTGTTCAGACATATGGTGAAAATAATGGCCCGATGTGAAATGACAGATTTGTCATTGGAAAACGTAAAACTTTCTTGGGGGAGGGGCCCCAAACTATTTTGACGTGCATCGCATGCTCATGGACACAAAAGCAATACTGCTGAGACATGTTGTGTTGGGGTTTTATATTCATCCTCCGCTGCTATAACTCCATCCTTGGGGAAACACTGTCCAATATACAAATTGATGAAAAGTACTGTACCAGAAAACCCAATGATGTGTGTTTTATGTTTAACTTTCTTGCCTAACCCTATTCCATGCAGGCCAATCCGAACATATAGAAAAGTAAGCATGCCATAACTACTGTACAATAATATTCCCATATTGGGAGTCAAAGTATTTTTCATTAATTCATCACATAAAGAGGTGTTATTATGCTAATTTTCAGGTTCAAAACCCTATTTAGGGGTTGTACCAGAACAAGTTTACATAGTTAAAAAATTTTAAAACACATTTTTTGTCATACTGTACATTGCTGCAGCTCCTCTTTTCACCCTGTGTTGAACGCTTCGTTTTAGCTATGGAGTGATACATCTTGTCTCTAAATGATCTTTGTTGGGAGTTGCACATGCACAGTTCCTGGTTAAGGACTACTAGCCAATCAGAAGGAGAGAAGGGCGGGTCAATGAGAAACCGGTAAACACGACTTTGGTTCAGCTGTATATGTTCCCTTTACCAGCTTATCAACATAGACTGGAGCAAGAGTTTCAGAGTGGTGAGTTATTAATCTGTAACAAAAATATCTTTTATCCATCAAGTTTTAACTGAGCTCTGTCTCTACATCACAGTAACAACTTTATGTCCACTGACTGCCTGGAGGGTAGCTAGTGTTTGGAAGGGAGAGGTGGTGTGTGCTGCAGCTCAGTGTTTTTTCACCGGTGTTTTTGAGGGTGTGTCGGAGTAGCCGATTGGCGAGCGTTATATGACATGCATTTGGGCTGGACTTTGGGCTTTTTCACTTTGCAAACCTATTACATGCACAAAAAAGGTATATAACTCAATAAAGGAGAGGGGAAAAGGCCAAAAAGCATAATACCACTCAAGTGTTTAAGTAACATCAGTCTTACCTTTGCGAAAGCAGCGGCTGTCATCTGCACCCGGCCTTCATCTGAGGCATAGATTTTCAGGTCGTGGCGGTAAGTGCTGTGCAGGCGCAGGAGGCCACAGCCTGGAAACCCAGCATAGTCACCTGGAAGATTGTACACAGAGTGGTGCATCATGGTTAACTGGGCTGGTTACAGGTTGCTGGTTAGTGTACAATGCTTTTCTCAATTAAGGAACAATTGAGTCAGGGAGGTAGTTGAAAGAAAAGAGAAAAAAATAAAAATTGTGTTGATTGTCCCGAAATGTACCAAGGATTTCCCATTAAAAAACACAGGCGATACAGCACCTGTGCAGGTGCAACATCACTTTCAGTTCAAATGCATTGTCCTCAAAATGCTTTCCAAGCTTTTGATATGGCTTGTTTCACTTTAACATGAACCTAAATGCTTTGGTTTAAGCTATGAATAAAATGAAGTGAAAGTGAAGTGAATAGATGTTGAGTAAACCCCAAAAATGACTGGCAGCTCCCCTGGAGATAAAATCAAATACTTTAGAATAAATAAAATTCTTTTAACATGCTAAATATACTTGAAGTAATGCATCCACCTCATAGCTGTAGCTATGGGGTGGATGCATACTAATCAAGACGACAGATCAAATCACACTGATGCTTCATGCATTTGTCTCTAGTGTGCAGAGAAATAGCCTGATGTTATGCTATTGGCTACCTTGGGTTATCATGCCTCATTTGACAAGAAAGATCTGGGATGTGTTGGGGACTTACCCCTGTTCTAGGCTCTAATCCAAGCTAACGTAGACTGGCTTTCATCAAGCAAACAACAACATCCCATGAACTCATTTGGGGAAAAAATGCAGCAGGATTAGTGTGAGATGATCCGCGTTACGACACCAGACTGCAGTCACTTTAGCTGCCTGTGTTTGTGTCAGCAAGTTACCATAACATTTGCTGCATTGAAACACCTCTGGAACACATTAGTGACGACACAAACAATCCACAGCAATCTCAATGTAGGACAGACCGGACTAGTCGCCAGGTGAAATGAAACACAATCATGATGAGAGGAGAGATCAGGGCACGTTAGTGGACGGAGCGACAAACGCGCAGAATGAGAGAGGAGTGGAAGAGCGGTGATATGCATGAAACCCTTCTCTTACCAACGTCAATAGGGGATTCACAGCCGAGGGACCGGCGGTTACCGGCTAGTAGTTTAGACAGCGCAACAACAACAGGTAAGAAGAGAAGAGCAAAGTTAATAGACAAAACTTGTGGTAGAGAAAGATGTATGAAAACAGTGTTTGGGATGAGAAAATTTCCTTCTTTTCATAAAAAAGAAGCAGCAAAGAGACAGACTGCATCTACTTTCAGTTCTTCTTCGGGTTGTTTTGTAGTGCAGTTCGGAGTTGTTTCTCATGCACTATTCAACAAATAATTAAGAAGGAAAGCCTGAGAGGAAAAGGCTAATCTATGAATGACAGAGGTGTTGCTCAGTTAACTCTGCAAAGTGATCGAGAGAGAGAAACCTTAATGTAACAGGCAGGTTTGTCCACTTACTCATTGTATTTCACTTTGGTTAAGAGAGTCAGGGTTACATGTGCTGTGTGTAGTCTTTATATTACAGAGTGCAAAACACCCAACATCACAGCTGGGTGTGGTCAGGCGTATTCCTGTTCACACATAACTGTTTTATAGTATTGAACAATTGTACACTGCAGAGGTCGTGGCATGTAGCAACCGCTAGATGGCAGCAGTCTTTTCAGCCTGGATAGAGTTAAACTTTTTGAATTCCGTTAATTGTTATTGTTTCTAAAAATTAGATATAAAAATTATCCTGTTAATCTCCATGATGGTCGTTGATTTGACTCTAAAAAGCAGCAACCTTTCTAACAAAATGTTAAATCCATTGTCCACTTACTCGCTTGTTGTGGTGCTTTTGACCACACCACACAACACAGTCTTCATCAGCAGATGGAGTTCGCTCAGTTGTCATGAAACTTTATTCTGAGCACATTTAGGAACTTGAGTTAAAATTGTTTTTCCAGCTGCTGTTTCCATGATCAAGAATGAACTGCCGAGCTCAATGGTAGATGTGTATTTAGATGCAGATATTCTAATGGCCACTGAGAATTTTATTTATTTTAATTTTTTAATTTGCTAAGTCAATTTCTTTCAAGAACAAATAAAGTGCTGAATAATTCTAGTGTGGGTCTTCTTGTGATTTTGACGATTGTTCCATTAAGAAACAGTAACGCTTAAAGAAGCACATATTTAGCAGCATGTTTGCATGATTGAAAGGTCTTTCAGGCTGAGGTGTTTGCCACATGTTCACTTCCAGGCTCCACCTCGTTGCACATTTCAGATTTTCTAGTCCAAGACCCGTGTCAGACATTACACTTATACTTTGTGTTATATGAGATTTTGTTGATCACACTTTCACTTACACCATCTGCTGTAGTGACAAACTATGAGCAGCCTCTTCTTGTCCCCAGAAAATCCACCATTGGAGCACAAAATATAACATCTATGAAAGCAAATATTGAACAGTACGAGAAATGATCCAGTGACTGCGGGAAGCCTGAAATTCTGGCTTGTCGACTCTTAAATAACCTCCGCTTTTAACCTACTTTGACACATTGTCAGCTAACGTTGACACTGCATTGGGCAGTGCTTTGAGTGACTGACGGGAAAGACTGGGTTGTTGTACATTGTTTCCCCTCTTGACTGTGTTAAATAAAAATGACCTTTCATAATGTTTGCGGATTTGTGAATTGAAGTAATTAGGGAGAATTTCACACGTCAAGTCGGGCTTGCACCAAAAAAGAAAACAATTTGGAAACTTTATTTAATAAATAGTTCACATGAAAAAGATGTTTTTGCATTGAATGGTGGTTTTAAGCAGTTTTTCCCCACAGTAACCCAACTGTACTTAAAAAAAAACAAAGAAACACCATTGAAGAACTCAATTTACATCAGAGCTAAAGTAGAAGGATCAATCGTGAGTACATCTATTAGCTAATATGAGTGTGAGTCCAGTGGGTACCTTGACCTCCAGGGTACATGCAGCGGAAGGCCCTGCCCAGCTCCTCAGCCTGAACCCGGCCTGCAGGCGTCAGCTCCCCGCCCCACTTCAACACAAGCAGCAGAGATGGTCCGTCCTTCTTGGAGTCTGAAAAACAGCAGCGTACTGTTATTCATATATCGGTACAAAAATATTTTACACAACTTCAAAATGTCATAATTAATGTGTCTCCAAGTTGGCATTTGGGATGCTCCACAGGGAAACTTCTATTTACCTAAAGTATCTGAAAGAAGAAATTCTTTAATCTGACGTATTTTGCTGTATGGTAATTTGATTAAACACAATTGAATTCAATAATATACACTATGGTACAATATCACCTTAAAACTAGATTTTGACAATCTTTTGAAGAGGCCATAAAATCAGGTAATAAAGCATTATTCCAGTCATCTTTAAGCAAGTCATGTTCCAAAATCTGAATATAATGAGTAATGGTAATGGAATATAATTCTCTATAGTCTATTTCTCACACTAGTAATTTCTTTTACTAAAATATTCTTCCTTTATTTTGTAATCACATTAGCGTCCTCTGTTTACATGTGATGTAAACCATATCCACTCACAGTTCAAAAAGAGCTACCGTAGATATAAACACTAATTGTGTGTGTTTGTACCTTCTTCTTCGCTTGAGGCTTTAGGTTGGCCGTTACGCAGGTAGGTCAGCTGGACTTTCCTGTTGATGCCCGAGAAATGGCCGTACCTGGAAAGACAGAACACACACACCAAGAAGACAACAAAGTTTTATATGCACATAGACAGTAAGACATACAGTAAGGACACACAAATACACAGAAAGAGTATCACCATCTTCAAGGATTTATTTTTAATATTCAACAGCACACATCTGTCCATTCCAACAAATGCTTAAAGAGAAGTCAGAACAAGGCATCAAAATTTCCAAATCTGGCACACTGATCATACACACAACCAAGTACCAGTATTAGCAAATGGTTTAATGATAATTCAGTCACTCAGCGGGTACTTTGGATCAGCTTAAAGACCAGTAGCTGTAATGGACCTCTAAGTTTGATTTCAGTGTGTAATTCCATACACAAAAGAGACAAAGAGGAAGTGCAAAGTGTGTGTGCATGACTACTTTTAAAATGGGGCTAGGTAAAAATCAATGCAAATTTTAATCATTTAATCTTTGTTATTCTTAAAAAGTCACGCACAAACCCATGTCACGAGTAAGAATTTGGCACATCCAGCAGACTAATGGCCACATAGTGTTCTCTAGTAGGACAGGCAGGTGAGCGGACACCTTAAAAAGCCACATGATGAACCCTTAACCAGGATAAGTAGCTCTGGCAGAATACCAGGGAACCTCAACTGCCGTCACACATAAAAGAAACATCACCACACGGCACTGGCAATTGTTAAGTCATTCTTGGTATTTGTTTGCATCTAGTGGAGAATCAAATGGATGGGGATTACACACACCTATTATTAGGCAGGAGGCATTTCAGCCTAAATAACTTCAGCTGCACGTTAGGAATGCATAGTACACGTCAAAAGGAAACGGCTTTCGATATTTCACTAAATGTATGCAATGTTTAGGAGTTTATTTGACATTTACAAGACAACCTGTGAGTTTTTTTGAAGTGGGTATACTGTGGGTTGAATCACTACTGCAGTGTATGAGAGCAGGTAATAGAGTGACAAACAAAACATCTTTCACTGAGGGGGATTACTCTTAAATATAGTTGTAGTCTCTGCGGACTATGTTGCAAACCGCCTTTTCTTATTGGGGAAGACCACCAGCACATTTCTACAATGAATATAAATGCTGACAAAAGGCTGCAGGAAAGAAGACATCGGGATATTTAGAGTCCACTTATTTGTGGGACTCTAAATAAATGGCATGCACTCACTGTAGCACAGCACACACTGATTCACACATACAGAAACACAGTTAAATCATCAAAGACTGTATGCGTCTAGTGTTAATGGCTAACAATGAATGAATGTTAATGAAAATTATGCACTTGGTGTACAAAACATAAGGAATACCTTATACCAAATATTAATTCAAATTTCTAATCTTGCACAAGCCAAGTTTGTTACCCTATTTACACCCATTCATCTACAATTTACATCTACTTCCTGGTCTGTGTCAGATAAAGAAAAGGTGTTCCTTTTTTTGTACACACAATCCAAGAGGACTACAGAAAAGGAGGGTGGTAAAACCTCATCCTTTAATGCGAGAAGGGAGAGGGTGCGTACTGAGTGTCATTCAAGCTGGATTCCCTTTCAAAAAGGAAGGAGGAGGGATAGGTGGGAAGGAGACAAGAGAAACAGAGGAGGGAAGAGAAGATAAAGCAACGAGTTAGAGACTCAGGAAGGAGGGAACGAATCAAGGTAAACATGTGCCTGTTTGTGAGTATGACTGAAACAAATGACTGAACCCTGGTGTTGAAAGATGAAACTAGGTTGGGTTTGTGAATGAGAGTGGTGATAAATGGATGATGGCAGGAAACATAAGGATGATGACTGATGTGCGTTTGTGTGAGAGAGACTGTGTGTGTTGATGTAAGAGTTCACTCACATCTCCAGGACAGTCTTGAGTTGCTCCAGTTTAGATTTCTTCTCCTCAATCTCACAGTCGTTGTGCTGGACCAGTTCAACCAGCAGCAGGCGGGCGATATCTAGCACTTCCTGGAACCACATGCCAGTTATCCTTAATTTGACTCTTATCTTTCATTTTACTTGACAGACTAAACACACAGTGGAACCTCACACTGTCCACAAATGTCCTTACTGAATACCACATCAAAGACAAGATTGACAGTGAAGATGGCAGCTTCAAAAATGTTTTGTAAAAATATGATACAGTGACAGGATGTATGAGTGGATTTAGACAGCAAATATTTATACAAGAAAACAATAATGTTGTGTGATCCATAATAATAATTATGAAGCTTGATACATGCAAAGGTAATTGTATCCTCTGAAACCCTTCATTATTCTTAAAAGGATTCAGTCATAATCTAAAAACGAAAAAAAAAAAAGGCAGAGGAGAGGGAGTGTGGGAAAAAGAAAGTTTGAGAGATCGCACTCACCTGCAGCTGTTTTGGCTTCTTCAGCTTTAGCTTTCCGGACTTGTAGCCTCCGTACTTCTCAAATAACTCAAAGAATCTGTGCACAGAACAAAACAGCATATACAGTGAGATTGGATGAGGGCAATATCTTTAAAGTTTACATTTAAAAATAAGAAAGTAAATTTGTTCTCACATAACTCTTATCACCTTAATCTTCTTTCTAGTATTTTGGAGTTGGATGAGGTAAACTGTACAATGATATTTTATTAAAACAATTTCACAACAGACCAAATATTTGAACAATATGCTCTCCTAAAGAAGGAGACACATCTCAATTCTGAATCCAAGAGACTTACAGAGGGTGTCGGACCTCCATTTTCATCTTTTGCTTTGGTGTGCGGTCTCCATGGCGGATGATGGCAATAACACAGCGTAGCTCCATCCTGAATAAATAAAGTGGAAAGGAATTAATTAAAATGCAACAAACGTCCACTAAGACCTTATCCAACCCTGAAAAAACACTGCCCATTGGACACTGTTCATGTCACTGACACCAACGTGACAGATGGGATTTCAGAATGTGTGAGGAAGTCAGTAGGACGGTGATCCAGAGAAAATTTCTGATGCATGGCTTTCCATTTAGAAATGTACTTTACTAAAATTGGCAATTTGTTTTTCAATACATACATGGTTCCAGAGGTTGTTGGGACGATGGGGATGTCTTCGGCTTCCATTGGGATCGACCAGGGGATGTGGAACTGGGGGGCTAACTCCCTCATCACCATGTTCCTGATGAGACAGAGAAAAGCAATAACAGATTTAATTGGATTAAGCACGTCGGAATCAGTTTAAAAAGTAAATATCACAGAGGGAAAGGACTAACATTTAAAGCCAAAGTAAACATGCAATTTATTCAGCAGGCTCCTTCATGTGCCAATCAGTTTTATTAAAATTTTTTGATTTACATCTTACCTGAGATATGTTATCTGCTGCCAAGGAAATCGGGGGCATTGAGATAATCCAAAAAGATTGGTCCACACATAATTCTTGTTGCTACAAAGTTTTTAGAAACTACTGTATGCTACCTGAGCATCACACCTTGAGGGAGTATGTTCATGCTAGTCTCATACATTTACATGTATCTGTGCATGTAAACGGTTTTCTATTCTACGCTTGTGGTCAAAGACTGAAAGCAACTGTTATATTTCTACTCATACTGAATCTGTTTATACATCAGGAAAGTTACAGGTCAGTGTTTAATAGTGTGTATGCTGATGTCACCTACCCAAGGACTTTGGCACAGTCATCGTAGTACTTCATGGAGTTTTTGACGAAACTGAAGCCGTTAACATCACAGACGAAGGAGTGGCCGTTGGCTCGGAGCAGGTCGAACCCACACACTGTTTGCTAAAAATCACACACAAAACTGAGTTTAAGTACATTTGCACACGCAATAGAGTTGGTTGCCAAAATGTGGAGTATAAAAACACTCTGAACCACAACTTCAGTCTGTTTTTATTAGACAGAAGATGAAGTAGACAATTATCATTCAGGTTTTTTTAATAATGTGAATATGTTGACATAAACCCTCTCTTCATTAGAGTAAAAAAAACACTAATGCACTAGCCATTTCTAAGACTGAGAAGCTGCATAAAACTTTAAATGTTTGCACATGCAGTATTTGAAGCTTATAATTTATATGTGAACCTCTCAGATTTTTCAGTGAGACAAAAAGAACACAAAAGGTAATTTTTTTCCCCTTTTAAAATCGGACTGAAATATTAATATAGTAATATACCATGTTGCAACAGCAGCTATATAAAACAGTGATATCCTGTATAACTATTATTCAGTCAAAGGTTTATGAGTCTTTTAATGCTAATAGAAGTATTTGTTTGCTGAGGAACATTTTCCATTTGGGCTCAAAATATTGCTTCTGGGAATACTGTGTAATACACAAAGTCTTATTATTAAGAGATGTAGTTACAATATGAGAACTTGAGAACTGATTTTCTTAAGCTGTAGTCGTCTTTATTTGTTTGTGAGGACTCCAGGGGAGTTTATGAATTCACAGATTCATCCATAATAAATGTTACTATGTTACAGTGTGGTATAATGTTAGTCAGAACAGTGTGATATGAATAATTACATGGTAGCAGGATTTAGAACTAGCAACTCCCATTCACCAACCACATTTGTGTAAGGAAGGATAAGTAAAATAATCAAATACCAACAGTTGTCCACATTTTGGGGATCCACAACTGTCTGTGTTTACAGTTATTGGTTTCAAGATATCTTCTCCCTAATCTAAAACAGGTTTAATGAGATGATAGCCCAAGGTCTTAAAGTTCCGTGCCACTAAACACAAGTTAATGTAACGTTTGTGTTCGCTACCCATGGATTACAGCACATAAAAAAAGGTACCGAGGAGTTTTTGACCATTAATGGCTTAGACAGCAATAAAAAAAAGCAAAGATAAGGACCACAACCATAAATAATGCAGTTTTCCAAAACAAATGCAGGTTTTTAGACAATCTCAAACCCCTTTTCTGCACACGATGCCGCATCCTCTACATCATGACCTTGAGTTTACCTTGAAGGCCATGCAGACCTTGCGGGCCACCAGTTTCTCCATGGCGGTCAGCATGACGGGATAGCGGATCTCCTTCCCCTCACTATCCCGCTCTACCTTTCCGTCCAGGGCAGGAGATTTTCGGGCCTCTGCATGCGCGTAGTCTGGACCCACTGTGTAAACCTGAAGTATTCAGACAGACACACACACACACTTTATTTAAGCGGATAATAAGGATTTCTATATTTTACTATGTGGACAACTGTATGATTTATCAGCATGAGTCACTGTTGCATAAAATCAGTGCAAGCTATTAAACACTTCGATCAATAGCCAAGCGAACTTGCACAATACCTTCACATCAGTACCATCTGTGGGCATGAACTCCTCATAGATGTAGGATCCAGTCTTTCGTACATTGCTTTCTGGGGAGTACACACTGCTACGACTCCCTATCTATAGCAAAGAGGCAGAGAGAGAGACATAAGAGGAAGTTAAAGGCATTTGGGAGCCAACCTGTAAATAAGAATCTTATTTCGCCTCATTACCAACTGGCCACCTCCAGGGGCTGAAAAATTAAACCAACGTGGAAGTGACAAAAACTGTAGCTCATCAAAAGGCCACTTGAAGGTGGATCCGGAAGCAATCAATCCCCACAGACCCCCATGTTAAAATGGCCATTTTACAATAGAAATGTTTACAGCCTGATAAAAAAGTTTGGTCTCTATGGCGCCCTGTATGTGACAACATACTACATGTAACTCACCCATTTAAATAATATTAATGTATGCTTAATGTTATGCATAATTAAGGAGGTAGCCGCTTTGAGTGACAGGTGGGTGCCCTCTCAGGTGGCTAGTCGCTAGGTGGCTCAGCAACCAGGCTTTATTTGGCCCGCCTCAGCTCCACCTCTACCCATTTTTGGATTAGCCAGAGTCCAACACTGCCAATATAGTGACGGCCAGAGATGCTGCGAGTCGCCCACATTGAGCTTCACTATGGCTCTTCAGAAACCTATGGGTGACATCAGGGGCTCTATAGCTGATGGGCAATCTTGCTGGTGGCAAGTCCGACTATGTTTTGAACAGATAGCGGCAGTGCGGGGAGGGTGGCAGAGTGGCGGGAGAAGGGGATTTCGGTAGTAATCTTTACTTATTATCATTGACAGCAACATTGCCCAGCACCACTGCTCTAAAAGTTGCTCCGTTTATCATCAGCTTAAGTCCATGTTTTATACAGTTTATGCTCATTACCCAACTTTTGCTCAAGAATGTTTCTTTAAAGAGAAAAACATTAAAATAATATTCACTGACATGACGTGACAGTGACTGTTTATGTAGCTCAACATATGAATTATCCATGAATGGTAAAGTTTACAAGCATTGTGACATTAAGCAACTCCCTGTAAGTATCTCTGGCATCAGCCAATGACAGAATCTTTGCTTCCTGCATTGCTTGGTAGACAGCTACCTTTCTGAAGAGTCTCTGGCTTCCCCCTCCAGCAGATGTTGGGTAATAGATGTAGACATTGTGGTCCTCGGCGCACACAGGTTTCTCCACAAAGGGTTTAGGGAACACCTCCCCGTTCACCTCAACATGGTCATCCACCTCCAGCAGACTACACACTGCACACGGTAAGACTTTAGCTTTAAATTTTACTAGCAAATATTTAACACATACTAAAATAACAAAGTTCAAAATTAACAGTTATATTACAGATGGCAAAAAAAACCAAATACGTTTACATATTGAATGTATTTAAAATCAATTAATCTCCCTGCTGATCTGGGATTTGAACCACTAACCCTTTGTTACTAGGTGTCTTTATCATACACAGTTTAAAATAAGCCATACCAGCCTGCAACAGTTAATGTTTACCTCAACAGCAAGTGACAAGTCGTTGTCCCCTTCACATCCACTTATACAATAAATCCATTAAATATTTATGCTTTTTATTTAATCAGGATATCTAACATACAGTATCTAATTTCCAATAGGCACCAATAAATGCATTGTAATATTTTTCATTTTAACCATTTAGAATCACAACTTTATATTTATAGAAGTAGACAAAAACAGAATCAGAAAATTAAACTTGAGTTTCTGGTCATTGTAAAGTTACTGATGTGCTGTACGCTGCCATATATCACAGATATATCATCTAATAAATTTTCCATATAATTGATTGGTTTTGTTTTAGTTAGTAACCATAAAATCAGGGAGTTCACACATACAAACTTATCTAACACACAATAAGACCTCTTACTCACCTTCGGGATTGTCGGGGTCTCGGTTTAAAACAGCATAACGAGGTAGGTCAATGCCCTCTTCCTGTAGGATCCGGTACACTTCCCTCCTGACAGGGAAGAAGAACCATAGTGAGTCTACGTGTGCGGCTATGATGTGCATGTGTGTGTGTTACAGGGGCTGCGCAGTAAATCAGAAATAAGATATAAAAACTATGTTAAAATAGTAATTATGTAATTTCCATTCCCATCATGTGATCACGCCTGTGGTTAGGAAGAGAAGAAAATTGCAAGTGCAACAAGTTGGTTACATAAAAGAACGCGGCTGCTGCAATTTGCCAGGGGAGAGACAGTGAATGTGAACGAAGCTGTGTGATTTACATGAGGAAAGTTGCAGACAGAGATGCAAGTACTTCGAAATTATTCCCATCTCACTGGCTAACCACTGCAAGAATGAGCTTGTCCTTGAGATTAACTGACATGCAAACTCTTGTTGGGAAAACAGTAAAATTGAAAAAGGGACAGGAGGTGGTGAAAAACATATACTGATGCAGGTGCATTGACCATGCACATTGCTTTTATTGAGCAATTAAAATGTTTAATTTTCTGATACCCCTCAATCCTGTGTGTGTGTGTGTGTGGGTGTGCGCATCTGCTCGAACTATACCTGTCCTGTATGAAATACTGCATGTTGAGGTCATTGATGAGCAGTGGATTCCTGAGTTTGGCGTACTCTACTGCTTTGTCCAGAGGGAAACCTGAAAAATGTAACAAGAATAAAAACTTGTCATCAGCCCATACAGTATTTTCATCAATCCAAACTCAATCAGCATTTACAAATAACGGAAGTAATAACTCATTGATGACACAATTGTAACTCTGCGTATTCAATGTTTCTTTGAGTTTTTTAACTGTGGTTTTAAAAGTAGTAAGAATTATTGAGAGGGTTGAGTTGAGTTGAGTGTGCTGTCACGTTCCACTTTTCCAGCCTGCTTGCTATGGTGCTTATTTGCATGGTGTCATTTTCAATATAACTGCACATTGGACTACAAGGTTTAAAAATAAGGATAAATAAGTCATAGAAATAAAACTATTTTACATGGTGCAGTGCTGAAGATAAATTAAGGGGTCACAGCCTGAGGGAAGAAGCTGCTCTAAAGTCTGGTGATACTCCTGTATCTCTTGTCAGACAGCAGCAGGGTGACCAGGCGGCGGCAGGGTGGGTAATGTCTCAAGGGAGGCCAACATCACATTCTGTCTATTGTTAAAAGAAAATTCTCACACATTACTCAACCACTGCTGAGTAGCTCTATCCTAAAAAACACACAGGAAGTCATGTGTTTACCTTAATGGCCACAGAAACAGCAGTTTGTTTGAAATATTATGTGAAGAAAAGCTGGGTAGCTACTGCCACCTTCACTGATGAGATGGGGGATGACAAAAGTTACTACAGAAACTTTAACAGATTGAAAAAGTCTCTGCACACCTGAATGTGACAGGTGGGTCGGAGGACAGCACAATTTGAACATACATGAGAAAATTTCTGCTGGCATATTTATTAATTTATGATGTTTTGGTCTGGTTGACCTTTATCAGTAGAGCAGAGTAAAGCTTTGTGCCAGACAGAAAAATTTGGTTTGCAAACTGCAGTCAATAGTAGTGAACATTAAATGCAACAAAAATCACATTTAGCTAATGGGATAAAAGACCCCTTGTGTGTGTTTGTGTCACCTGTACAGAAGTAAAACCCTATCCCTAGGTATATCTGATGAATGTCGACCAGACCAACACTGTGAATTAATAATTATTCCAGCAGTATGCCAGACAGTGTGTGGGATGCAATGTGTGGGAGTTTTCTCATTGTTATTCAAGAAAATTCAGGGAACAAGTCTCCTGTCAATAGCACTTTACATTTATTTGAACAGGCTTGAAGCGTTATGTGCGGGGTAGGTTACTTAAGGTTACCGGAGTACAGTTAGCTAGTTACTGGTAGAGGTTTTATGTCACATTGTCTTAAATAAAAAACACACAGTCTCAAGGCCACTGTTCTAAATATTTGTTATACTGCTCTGCATGTGAGCATGACAGATATGTCTGTAGGAGATGTTTTAGGGAAATATACTTTCCAATAATAACAAAAACACAGGACTCATCCTATGTTCCCATGGTCAGAGCAACCATACAAAAAGCTTAATCTTTTAAAACTGGAACGGAAAAACAATCCCATGTGACTTAAATACAAAGAGGCAGACAGATCAGTGTCAGAAGGAAAATGATCTTAACTGTGCATGTTCAACAACATGTGTTCATGAGTATAATTATAGATAGAGGAAACATGGAGAGGTTTATTGATTTTGTTTGTCTAGCTCTGCCTTTGTAAACTACACAAGGTCAGCTGGGGATTTTACATCCCACAGCTCTCTATGTTTTCCATTGAGACACTCCCTAGTGTCTGCCACAAAGCCTGAAATATGTTAGGGGTTTTAGGTACAGTCATTTCTCAAGAGAGTACATTTAATTTACTAAACATATGTATATGTCGTTACTGAAAAAAAGATATTGCTATTGCAATTTTGGTCGGAATTAAAGACTTTTGCCCACAGATAAACACAGGGAAACATTTTAGTCATATCCCTTTTTTTCTGTCCTTACTGCAAACAAAGGAAACCAATAAAAATACTTTGTCAAACAACAAAGGAGTGAGCATTTCTTATTTATTACTGTTTCTTGTTATTTTACATTGAGACTGCTATCTATTTCTCCAGTTTTAGAGATCATTTACTTTATCCAAACTTTTTCCTAGCAGACTGTTATTTGTGCTTTAAATCAAAATATTTTGTTATTTATGGCAAACATGATGTAATTGCCACCAAGGGGACATATGAACTACTTAAAGCAAGTGAGAATGTGTCTGAGGATAGCCAAAACATGGCTTTACTCCACATATAAACAACTGGTTATATCAGTTTAGACTTGTGTAGCCAGAGAAACAACAAATCCTCTCACACCAGTCTGGAGCATTAAAATGGCATGCCACATTTCCCCTCCACCTCCCTGTTACCGTTTCCCCTCATGCAACAGGATCCTTTTTACAAATGTAAATTTTACCCTTGGAGTGGAAGGAGATGAGGCAGTCGCAGAGGGGCCATTTCTCCACAGGTTCCTCCAGGATCACCTCCTCAGGAAAAATGACCACGTTGATGTAGTCAAACTTACAAAGGCGCTCCAGGATCTCAGTCATGGGCTTGGATTTTGACTTCTTCATCATGGCACATATGCCAACCACAATCTGTCGCTCTGGTGGCTAATGGGGAGGACAGGGAAGATCGGGGCAGAGAGGGGAAGTACGGAGAGAGATGACAAGTAAGAATGTGCCAGTGCAACGACATGTATAGGAGAGACAGCAGAACAGCATAGATATTCTGATATGGCTCTTGGTGGTCCTGGACCTACTAGTTTTCATACTAGAGTTTCGCAGCCCTTCCTCTGTAAGGGGTCATGTGACCTGCAATTCCAACTGTGGCCCCTAAACTACAATCATGGCATAAACCAGCACTGTTCCTGGAAGCTTGGTTAACATTCAATGGTTGGTGGCATATTAACAGGCTAATATAAGTACATTACCATGATAACAGCATAATAAGAAAGCAGAGAGGAAAATCCTTTTAACTAACAGCGTGGCCATTTCTCAGTCCAATTTTAAGCTACGCTTGTGGCTTGGCTCTAGCAATGGCAATGTCGATCAGTTCATACACCACTTCGGACCTGACTGACTTTGGTGATCCCCTGAATTTTCATCCAAGGACACCAGCAGATCATCAGTTTCACTTAAGTGAAATCTCTCAAAATGTAAAGTCACGGCCAAAAATATGCAAACAAAAGAAATAAACATGAGAATACTAAAGCATTTGTAATTGTGACAATTTTCTGGGAAAAGTAGTGCATTATATGACAGACATGCCCATATTTTTGGCCATGACTATACACTTTGTTGATGTTGGTACTTACAATCATGGTTCTCAGAGGATATAGACTCTTTTTGTTTGCCTGTAAGTGGTAGCATGAAGGCATATAATAATGTGTATGTGGCAAGTAATGATTCATCCATTAATTTTATTTCTTGTGGGTAATGAGCTTTACAGTCTGACAGAGAAGATAGTGTTGCTACGACATTTAGTTTTGTTCAATTATAGTAGGAATTCGTAAAAAATTGTTTGTGTGTATATTTATTCTATTCTAAATTAATGAGATGTAAGTCTTTGCTGTTGTGCCACAATTGTTGAAGTGAGAGTTATAGTATGAAGTGAACTGCTACCCACTCACACTCTCTAGGTAAGACCCAAACAAAGACATGTACTGAGACAAAGAGAGAGGGAATTATAGCAAGCAAGTGAGCAGCTAACACAGCACTACCATAAAGTCCTTTTATAGCTACAGAACTAAACAAACCAGATGCCTTAAGGTTGTTTATGTACTGCATTGTTCTCACGCCAGCCTTTGTATATTTCTGTCTCTATTTCTTTTTCCTCTGTCCAGTTTAAAATAAAACTGTCCTCTTTAAAAGAAATCCAGTCTTGTTCATTTCCTACTGCCCAAAATGACCAAAGATTTGGGTCCCTGTTGTTAAGTCATTATTAATAGTATTGCATAGACTTTAGTTCAGAAGTGCAATTAGTTTAGTTTACCATTTACACTGCTCATAAAAACTTTTAAAACAAAAAAAGTAAAATATGAAAATATCATTTGACACATAAAGCAACAAGGCATACCACGTACCACCTGAATTAACACCCGTCACTTACCGACTCATCTTCATCATCCTCCATTTCTTCTTCTCGAAACATCTCGTTCTTCATGCCTGTCTCCATTTGGCCCATGTCCTGCTCATCATCTTCACAGCCAACCACAAACCGAGGAACGTCTCTCTGACCCAACCCTTGTCGTTCCCCTGCTTCTGGTCCTGCCCCGTCACGGGGCTCGGACATCACAAACTCCTGTGTAACATGGCTGCTTAGGCTGGCTCTTCAAGCAGCTAAACAGGAAGAAACCCAGTCAGCTGTGTTACACCGTCGCTAGATGACTGACTCCTGAAAGTCTGGTGATAAAGTCAAGGGTCTGTTGGTGGTGTGGAGCTGGCAGATAACAGCTACGTGCGTCCGTGTGTGTGCAGTATGTGCTGAGGTAGAAAAAAATAGAGTGTCCTAAGAGGTAGAACAGAGGGAGTGGACTCCACGTGTGTTGATGTAGACAGTCAAGAACCTGGCTGTAAAACTCCCTGTGTCAGGACAGAGGATGTTTGCCTCTGAGAGATAACATGCCCTGGTCTAGAGACGCTTCTTCACGCAGGAGACTCCATGGTCATCTGTGCACCGCTTTCCTTGGCCTATACATAAAAAAACCATACATGGAGAAAGTGGTTGAGCAACTAGTTCAAAACAGTTCCTTTAAGTAAAACCTGACAAGTTAAGCAACATTTCACATGTGAAACACATTGACACACAGCCGTTACAGCTCCGCAGGCGAACTTGAATAAATATACTTCACGTGACTAACCACAGTACGGGTTGTTGCAGTGTTGCTACATCCAGCATGAGTGAAATCAACTTCAGCCACACAATGAAAGAAAAACCATTACTGATTCCTGAGGAATTTGGATTATTACTCAAGAGGCAAGAACATTGTTGTGACTTTAATCAAGATTTTGCCTGGAAGGAATTTTTGATATGTTGACTATTGAAATATTTACAGCAGTTCACACATTTATTAATCCACAGTAAAAAGGCTGTCTACAGACATTCTAGGTATTTGCATCACAAAACATATGGTGAAAATGAACAATGTCATTTTAAAATATATAAGTAGAGAATTAGGAAATGCAGGACTAAATCCTGCATGAGCAAATTATTTCCTTGTTCCTCTGTTTTCATTTTTTCCCCGTTGTGAAGGTGTAATGTCCTCAAAACCAAATGTATATCTTGTGAAATTTAGGACCCCCGACTATCAAACTCACACACACAAACACTTAAAAATGCATCTTCGGTGCATTTTAAGTGTTTGTGTGTGTGAGGAGCTGAGGAGCAACTGAGGAGCCGAGATTGAGCAATAAGTTCCATTTATCAAGCGACTTACTCCAACATACAGAGAAGTGCAAAAGTAACCTTAAGAGCAACTCTCAAGTGATCACATGATTGATCAGCCGGCTTCACAACGTACTGATGCAACACTTGAGGCTGATTCGGCAATTGTTTTTGAATTTCTACTTCCCAGAGAGTTTTGAACTGAGACATTCTGGGAAGTGGAACAAAGACAGTTTCTGTTTGTTGTCGTTGTCTTTACTGTGATGATGGTCTGAATTTAAAAGAACAGAGTGTTCTGTAAGCCCATGTGGCTTTCCAGTTCCCACCCAGCAGAAGAACTTTGTTTTGTTTTGTGTTTCTGCTGCTGTATTACTGTGTGAGCAGTACTCTGGTTATTTTGCCTTGTTCTGTGTCCTGATGGACTGTAAGTAATAAGAAACATACCACAAAAATATAGCTACTGCTCCTAATACTATTATTCTGTCAAGAAGACGTATTGGAAAATTGAACAACAACAGGAACCTCAGCTACACTCGGTTGCCTGATTACATGGACCACTTAGCTAAAACTAATCATTCATAAAGGTTTTCTTCATGAAGGTTATATTGTTCAGTTTTTGTTTAAATTATTTTTGAGATCTATTGATTATGATCTTTTTGGAGGATGTACTTTGTGATTAGTGGTTGACCAATGTGGCTTTTTCCAATAGTCAATGCCAATATTTAGAGAGCAGGAAAGCCGATGGCAGATCTGTAATGCCGATATCAAAAAAAAGAAAAGTCTTGTATAATTCCATATTTCCATGCAGAGTACAGTCTAATATACATGGTTGTCTCAGCCCCTAACATGCTGCTTTAAATGGAATTAATTATTGAAATATTTATTCTGCAGATCTTAGAATTTCACTGGTGTTTATAGGTTTACAGTTTTCAATTCATTCAACTGCATTACAGGCTAACTACAGATAAATCGTGTTTAAAAACAGCCAATAAATGATAATTTAAAAAGAAAGATGAAAGAGGGATCCTTTGATCATGTTATGAGTGTTGTCATTGCATAGTTTGTCCATCAGAGGGCATTCTACAACTCCCTTTATTGGCTATATTTTGCAGACATAATCAGCAGTAGTTTTGTTCAGAGTACTATTTAGAAGAGTAAAAAAGTCTTATTTTTAAACCGTTATATGCCATGTTATCTTGGTAAGGTATCATAACAACATGAAATAAATGTTAGGGATAATCTTTGTTTATGTTGTGTGTTCTGAAAAGAAGGGGAAAAAAGAATATCAGCTGTTATATTGGATTTTAAAATCCTTATCAAAATAAGTACTGGTCTTAAAAATCCCATATCAGTCGGGCTCTACAGTATAACAATATATATTTATTACTAGCCAGTAATGGTTTTAGTTGAGATTTGCTTTTATTTAGAATGGGAGAAATGTGTTCGCATTTAGAAAAGACCATTGACATTTTCATCACCTTCCCAAAACTCACAAAGGGAGCCACACTGAGAAAGCTGCCTGCAGATGTGTCTGCAGTAGGGATGTCACGAGAACCAATACTTCTGTACCTAGTCGATTCAAGTTGGTACTGTATAGTTTTGTTCTTGTTTTTTGCCGTGATATCAAATTGGGTATCGAGAATTTCAATGGTATTGGTCAACAAAATTTCCGGTATCATTTATCAGCTTATATATCTATCATCTCAAAATGCCAGATGACGGCCAGATTAATCAGTCTGTTGAACTGTACTGCATTACACAGAGAGGTGTTTCTCTCATTTAACGTGCCCTCATTGATACAAATGGTGGAACTTTCACCAAACATTTGAAACCCTAGTGCTTCAATATAATGTGTGTGCGGTCACTGCTTATCTGTTAAGTGATCCGATACCACACAATAAACATACAAAGCTGTTATGTCATTCCCTTGTAACTGAGTCCAAGCCCAACCAAGAGTGTGAAATGTAGCCAAGCTCGAAGAAGAATCTTGCTACTGTAGACAGACGCAGCCAGTTCATTAACCCCCCCCCCCCCGAAACACTACCCTGACCCCACCACCAATGACAAACAGCTGACACGAGGGGAAAAGCCTCCACTAACAGATGGGTAGATCATATCACAACATACCGCAAGCCGACTGAGTACTCCACGCAGTCTTTCAATGACCGCAAGAACTTATTTAAAGTCGCTTCCACTCTAATAAAGTGCTGATTATTTCACTGACACCATTGAACGTTCTGGCTGCTAAAGAGCAGTCATCGTCTTCCTGTGTCCCGGACTTTCTGCCAGGACATGCCTCACACAAATCTCATACGTGAGCCAGCCTGACCTTGATACCCAGAAATAACAGTGTCCTCTTCTGCAAGGGGGGGCGCGAGAGAGGAGCTGAAAGGTGGAGCCACAGCACGGGTGCTGGATGCCATGGCCCAGCAATGGCACCCAAACATAACTCACCATTACAAATCTCAGAAGCGATGACAGGCCGCACTAAACAAAGTGGAAGCCCTTCTTGCTACCTCTGGGTCAAAGAACACTAACAGAGATAAACTCGTAAATAAAAAAACCTATAACTGCCGTTGTGCTGGCACCACTGAGGCTTGAGTTTTTTTCTGCCTTTACTACTTCAAGGACATGGCCTTTACTCTACCGGTCCAGAATAAGACGACACTATACACTACAAGAAAAATGCTGCATGATGGAAAAACCTGTGTGTAAAACACCAGCTGTATCTACAAAGTTTTATTCCAACTAGAGATGAAATCAGAGACTTCAGTGATTAAAATAACTTTTAGTGGCGTCACGATTGGCAGGTGTGGGACTCATGACTCAACACCACTTACGGTTCCACTTGCACGCCATTGTAATATTTCCAGGTATTGTGTGCTCTGAAGCAACATTTCCGCATACGATTGGCATCTTGGAGGTATCTGTGGTGTGTACACAAGTCTTGCCACTGCCTGCAAATGTTGTACAGATCAAGAGGATAATAAACTCTCAATTAAACTGAAAAAAACATGTTCTTTCTATGTGTTAATTCTATGTGAAGTTTTTTAAATTTTCCTGAAAAATTATGACAAAAATCTGAGACACGTCCTAAAAAGTAAAATTTTAATAACTTGCACATTCAAACACATATTTTGTTGTCAAATTCTACTGTTGTCTTTGGAAAACATACTGACCACAAGTGGTAACCTTATTTTTTGGTTAGGTATCGCAACCTATGCCTATATAGAGTCTCTATCAAAAACATTTTGTAAAATAGCATTAAAGGCTTTATCTGATTCTTGGTCATGTTTACTAATTCTTTTATAAAATGTAAATCATAATGTTTGTTATTGTTTTATTTAGGCAAAGTATTAGTAGTATTAGGGGCTCTCCACATGAAGACTGGTTTAGTCTGTATTACAATTTGAGGTTGTGGGCAACAGGGATGTGAAATTAATCAAATTGAATTTTCAATTATGATTTTGGCTTCCAACAATTATGAAAACGAGATAATTCAGACAGAAAGATTGTTGTTCCGCATTCCATTTTGAAATGATGTTTTGTCCTTTACAGCCCACCCCTCCCCAAAATACCAAACTCTCTGGCAGCCAGGCTGTGGCATGTTTGTTTTAGCTTGAGGTGAAGATGATGGGGGTTATTACTGGTTAGTCACCATTATTAGCTTAAGCCTCCGGCAGAAAATTATATATTATTTACACTTTTCTTATTCAACATTGGTTCAAGTAACTGCATCTCCCGACAGAACACCACGGCTTAATTTCAGCGATACGTAACGTAACGAGCTGCTGTGAACCTGAGTAATTCACCTGTCACCTGCTAAACCCACACGGAGGCCACCCAGCACCCCCTGAGCAGTTAAATGGGGAAAACACTGTTGCTGTCGTCCTCTTGTGCTCCAAGGTGCTGTTTAAAGTTAATAATGTTGGATAACTATTTCTTATTTCATTGGCTATTTGGGATATACATTTTTGGGGTATTGCATATATAATAAGTTTAAAAAAATGAAGCATTAATAGATTCAGCTTGACACAAATTAGTGACAGAGTGTCACTAGTTCAGCTTGTGTTGCTTCACTTTTGACCATCTTTTAAAATCTGTCTCTTGTCAGACGCCCAACTTTATGTAGTATCCCTTTAAAACTATATAACTTAACTTAAAACTCTTATTTTTAGAAAGCAAAAAAAACACCATTTATCTCGAGGCATGTACCGTTTACAGAGACCCAACAATTCCCACCATGAGCAACACTTGGTGACAGTGGCAAGGAAAAACTCCCAGAAACCTTGAGCAGAACCAGGCTCTGGGTGGGCAGCCTTCTGCCTTGAATGGTTGGGGTGAGAGAGTACCAAACCATCACTGATAAAATTTGTATCCCAAGATGCAAAGTGTGAGTATGACTTTCATATTTCTGTTATTACAGGGAAACAAGCTGTGCTAGGTTGAGATGTTTTCATTTTGTGACATAAATAGGGGTCGATTAAAGTCATTAATGCCTTAATGTCTCTTTCACTGGAGGACAAAACAGAGGAGGAAGACATTAAGGAAACAGACAGAGGAACCAGACAAAATCGTTGTGTGAAACAGTCTCCTTATATTGTTCCTCTCCAAAAACATAAAACCGTCCATCACCCATGAATAAATTAGGAGGCTGATTAAAAACATCTCCAGCTGTCACCTGTGGGCCCTCGTCCCTGAATGAGTCACCTCCGTCATCACTGTGGGGCCAGAGATCAACGATACGGCTCCAATAAAAAGGCGTTTAACCTTTGAGACTGTCTGCCACAGGAAGCCTGTGTCGTGTTTATGATCGGTGATGGAGGAGCTGGTCATTAACTCCTATTTGCTATAATTTTTCTGATAAGATGGCAAATGAGAACCATCACAACACACTATGCAAATGGAAACAGTTTGCCTGTCAATTATGGACTAATTTTTTTGTGGACTGATTGAACTGTACATCATTTTTAGGAAAGAAAAATAACTAAGGAATATTATCATGATGTGTTTGTGATTGGGGCCTTTATTGCGAAAAACATAACTGAAAATAAAAGGTGAAGCATTTTGCTTAGCCCATCACTACTTTTCTATCAGGTTTAGGATGAACAAGTGAGCTGCTTGTTATCTGAAGAGAGTTCAAGACTGAATCATTAACAAAACTGTTAATGATTATATTCAATAAAACTTACTGCTCAAAGGCACAAAGTTATCGAGGTTGGACGCGAACATTAGCCCTGAAACAGTATCACCCCCGAGGGTCAGATAGCATGCTGGTGATGTTATCAGGATACAACTAGACCTACCAGTGTAACAGCAGTTACAACCGCCTCTACAAGCTTGTAAATGCATTAAGCTCCGAGCACTCGCGAAATTAGCGTTGTTCGCAAATACAACCGTCATTACTGAAAACAGAGGCCAGAATAGGCTTGCCCGTGGGCCGCAGGTCCTGCAAAACAGGCCCATTATTTCTAACTAATCAACTCAGACATTTCTCACTGTAGGATATGAGCCCTCTGTAGGGTTTACAAGATGATTTATGGAAATGGGGAAAGATACATGACTTTATTCTCCTGCGTCTGAGCTACTGATGAATAACTTTTACCAATTGCTTTCACGATTAGAATAAAATTCAACTTTAATGACCCCTTAAGAAAATCTGCTGCAGCAGCAGATTATACAAAGGTGCAGCAGCATCAAAACAGGCGATAAACAGGATAAATTGAAATAGAGATATATAAATTGATATTGTAAAAAAGTAGAGATCATAGCAGTAAATATATTCCTCAAAATAACAGCAGGACCTAATCAGTTTGTATGCACTGATCATACTACATTACATTCATTTGGCAGATACTTTGGTCCAAAGTGACGACTTCAACGCGAGTTTCCAAACAACCTATTTTTTGGTTTGTTCCCTTGTTTGATTTAGGAAATCAGACATAAGTAAGCCACAGCATGTGATGTCTCTGTGGAGTCTGAAAATAAAATTATATACTGAACAGTGACCACTTTTTTGGTTTGTTGCATTTCCCATTATTTAGTACACATTGATTATGGTATTTGTTGTGGTTTTTTTATTATTCATGGTGATTCACACAGTGAAAATAATGTTGTAATAATTAGTATTCTCCATTTAATCCAAGTTAGCAGGGTTCACATGGAACCTCCCAGCTATATGACTATAACGTTAGGAGCTTTGTTTTATCTCGTCTTCTACAAAACCTTCTGTTGCAATGTTTTAAATTGGTCTTCTGTTACTTTAGAATATAACATATTATTACTACAACTTTAAAAAGTCTCTCCTCCTGTTGTCCCACATCAGCAGACACAGTGCCTTTTACCAAATCATTCCTGGTTAGGTTAAAGCTGGCACAGGCAATTTATTTCAGAAACATGTTTTTTGAAATTCTTCTTTACATCCTGACAGCAATCAATAAATCAAATGTTCCGGCACAAAACAAATTCAGTATCTGTGGCTGCTGCAGAATTATAATAAGCATGGCCACTGGCTGGCTGGAGCTCAGGTAAGTAGGCAGGTATGCGTGCACTCTGCTCATGCACTCATTGCAGCATGAAAATGTGTTTTGGGGAGTTTGTTTTGGAAAGAGGCAAACATTTCTCACTTCAGTTTTGTTTCTCTTCTATAAACGGAATATTTGGAGGTCTTGAACTTTTGGCAAGATGTCACCTTGAGATTTGGGATTTGTCGCTATTTTCTAACAGATAATAGACCAAACTATTAATGATAGTTCCAGCTCTAGAAATATTCAGAAAGTATGACAGTTTGTGAAGGAGGGACACATATTTCCATCCTCAGCAGCTACACACAGTTTGAAGAATAAATATCACAAAACTCGCGTTCAGAAAGTGGCCAAATCGTTAGTTTGGCCGTTAGATAGTTCATGAAGTTTTACATCAAACTGAGGAGACATGCCCTCCTCTCATGGTTGTTAAAACACTTTATCAGGAGGACCACACATTACAGGTGTCCAGCAGATAGTTTCAAGCCCCAACCTGCGTCTCAAATCACTTTAAAGCACAATGAATGACTCTGTTGGGGGTTAGTAGTAAAACAGGGCTCCCGTGGGAGGACCAAAACACATATAAATGAATCAGTGCGTGTACAGCACTCCTGACAGATACAGTTACAAAACGTTCAGAGCTTGCCTGCTTTTGTCCACCGACACAACAACAGAATCCAGCTTGCCTCTATCACAGGACGCAAAGCCACGCCGTTAAGGGAGAAAGCAGAAAGCGATCAAATAAACGGGACTTACCGGCGGAAAACAACTGGATGTCCGCCAGCTGTTCACTTCCTTGTTTCCTCTGTTAGTAGTCTGAAGGGAAGCTGCTGCTGCCTGACTTTAGTAACTCAGTAAAGTTGTGAGTGGTGAGCTACACGCTAAAGTTCAGTCGCTGCTGGTGATTAGCATGGTGATTAGCTGCTGCTGCTGCTAGCTTCCTTCCTTTTCTTTTTCTTCACCTTTTTTTTGTTTTTTTACATAAAGTTTAGTTTTTTGAAAGCCGCGTCATCACTGCCATCTACCGGTCAAAGCGGTGCATTGCAGCAGCGCACACTTAAAGGGCAGAAGGACTTTTTGTGCCAGAGATACTTAATAAAAATAGTGAAATAAATACTAGTTAAATGTAACTAAGTGCATTTACTTAAGTACCGATCTTAAGTACAAATTTGAGGTACTGAAGTACCAACTCCTGTAGGAAATATATGGCTATTTAGCTGCTGAATGATCCAATCTGCTATGTTCACCAGCTAGTTGCTGACTGTCTGCCTACCATTTAGTGTTGGGTAAGTAACATAAACTGTGTGTGGGGGGGGGGTTGTTGAAAGCAATAACCTGATGCACTTAAAAACAACACTGATGAGAGTGGTGAGAGTGAACATTAAAGCTGCAGCAGTAAAATCAAAATAGTGAGCGGCAAGATGCAAATATCTGAAAGGAACTGAAGAGTTGGATGATAATTTACTGTGAGTTCATTACAATGAGCAACACCTATCACATTTCAAGTAAGCATGTGATAAAAGTTATTGTTGATATGAAAAGTATTGATTGTAGTAGGTTTAAGTAGCATTATATCTAGGCCTAAACCAACAATGTAACAAATTTGTAATTGGCCCCAGTGCAAATATTTTCCTATGCCCCTTGCCCCAAAAAGCATGTTTGTGCACACACGGACATACATACACACAATAACTCCATGCAATTACAAACCTGCAGCCTTTGATCATCAGCACAGACACAGCCAAAGTGCCAAACGCTAATCTTATAGCCTGTCCTTGACTCAAACCACCACAGTCTGCTGTCTCCAACAATCAAACTAGCGAAATAGCTTTTGCCAACCTCCAGTAACAAATCAACACAAAGTACCTGACACAGTATGTCAATAATCACAGAACGAATAGCAATTAAGCGCAGCAACTCATTACTCCAGCAACAGTATCAATGAAGGCATCACGGCATTTGCTCACAATCCATGTGGCAATTGTTGTTGTCCCTTGTGGGCCCTTGTAATCAGCTGGGCCCTTGAACTTACGCCACTGGCCTAAACAGTCTACACATAAAAACATTTAAATGCACATAGATCATAAAATGTTGGATGCGATTTTTGTCATTTAAAGGATATAGCACGTACAGACTTTTTATGTCATTAGGTGCTGCCTCACACAGGAGCCACACACAGTCAGCTAAGGTATGTAATAAGCCTCACAAAGATTTCCATAATCCCACAGTTGCCTTTGCTTCCCATTCAGCCAGACCAGCGCTGGTCACTGCCAGACAGCCCGGTGTGGCTGATGTGAGTCTGGCAACCTGTCAAGAAAATGTGGAGCGACTCTCTGCTCCATCACGCAGCAGGGCATGAGAAGTCAGTCTGTGCTGCGGGAATAAGGAAGTAGTGTTCACTAAAAACCAGTAACCACCTCTCCCTCCTTCTCCTCCTCATCATCTCTCTCTCACCATCTATCCAGCATCCAAAAATCTCTTTTTTTTAAAGACTTAAAATTATGTAATGCCTTCCAAAAAAAATCTAAATGCTTTGAAGCTCTGTCTTCACTGATTCAATGGGCACACTATCATTAATGGGCATGTTAAATTGTGAAAGCCTGCTGACAAACACGTCCTTGTCCTCTTCAAGTCACATTTAGCTTGCAAGGAGACAGAAACGGAGAGGAAACAGAGGTGAAGAGGTCTGTTTAAAGTGTGCAACATTAGACTTATAAGACTGTCAGCAGTCAAATTAGCGTAGACACCTATAGAGAAGAGCTAGTTTTAATGTGTGCACTGTGACCAATTCAGTTCCATTCCCAAATACATGGTTAAAAAAAACAGGAAACTTTCCTTCGTGTAGTTTCCATGGATGAAGAGTATGCACAGTCACTAATGGTGGATAATGAGGTGAACGGGTTCACAGAGTGTCTCTCTGTGTTACTTTCTCTCATTTCTCTCGTCCTCTCTCGCTCACTTTCTCCCACAGACTTTCTGAAAAATGGGGAAATATTTTCTGTCATTATGACTCATAAAATCAGACACATTTAGAACTAAGATTGATTTTTATGAAAAAGTTCACTTATATTTCTATTTTTAGGCCTTGGTGGCTTTGGATTACATTTCATTGATGATTGAAGCTTAAAATTGCCGCAGTGATGGTAGATGCAGAGCAGTCTTGCTTGCCATTTGTCACATTGGCCAGGAAGCAACAACTAATAACATTTTACTAATAATAATAGCACATACGACCGCATGGTTGTAAGTTTATTGTATGTTTGTAATACCCATTGGGTGAGTAAATTTAATCAAGTACTGTACTTAAGTACAATTTTGAGGTAGTACGTGTACTTTGCCAGACAATTTACATTTTATATAATTTCATACCTTTACTCCACTACGTTTTAGAGAGCTCAGAATATAGCCAGTAGTTACTTTTCAAAATAAGATTTTACAATGAAAACCCATGATGAGGTTATATAATATATGAAATACTCTTGAAGATTTAACTACCTAAGACTAGGGTAGGCTCAACCTGTTAAACTACCCCCTGACATGAACACAACGATTTTCAACCGACTGCTTACGTACAATAAAAATTCTACTGACCCCTACTGACTTACCGTCTCTCTTGTCATTAATTAATACAGATATTAACATTAGCAAAGATCTAGTTGCCAGGATTGAAACAGTTTGCCATTCATCATTCATCCTTACCACACCTGGTTTATGAAAGGAATGCTTTCATTCACAAAAATGCACAAAACATTTGACTTAATACAGTTTAGAAATTTACAAAAATCAAATGCTAAAGCATACAGAAAATGAAGAAAAAGCATTTTATGGGGGTGAACTGGAAATTCTTTTTCAAAACTTTACAGAAACTTGGATTCAGGTAGCAATCTAATAAATGGATTAAAGCACCATTTACCTATTTCACTTTACATAAGGGGACCAGGAAAGGATGTCCTCTCTCTCCCTCTTTCTTTGCCTTATTTATTATACCACTAGTATCCAGAGAGCTAATAGCACAAAACAACATCAGTCTTTATACGCAGATGATATATAGTTATTGATAATGTAACCCTGACAGGGGCCATTCAACTGCCTAAGAAGTATTTTACTTTTTACTTTTGCTTTCTTGACCTGGAGCAGTGACTCCCTGGAGTCTCCACTAATTTACAAAGAATACAAATGATTCTTTAGATCTGACAGCAAAAAAAGCAAAATCAGGAAAACAATAAACAATGCATGCATGACCACAAAAATAACAAGTATACTATGTGCATTTATCCTACATCTGTTCCATCTTTATGAAGGTTTCTGTGTCTACTGCAAAGTAAAACTGACAATTCAAATCCAACGAAGGTTAAAGTCAAGGGCAACTGGACTTGGTTGAAGATGTACAGTTGCCCTTGACTTTAACCTTCGTTGGATAACTATGACCTGGATGACTGAGAATCTTCATAGACATCTTGGCAATACAAATGAGTCTCAATAACTGGTGGCCAAATCCTTTTTTGTGCCTTCTGGCTGAAATGAGAATGAAACTTGACTTTTAGACAGTTCCTCTTCAAGATGAGCAGTTGTGACATACAATAAATTTGTAAGTGACTCTGTTGGATGCCATGCCTGTAGCTTTACTTGTAAGATGATAAAAACCAGACAGGTCAAGTGCAGCAAATAGAGGGCATTGTTGTCAGCATGGTGTATATAAGGTGCTGTTGTCATGTCGGTCTGTATTTCCTCTGCAACTGTGTCAAGTCATCAGTGGGAATGTCTTTACATACATAACTCTGTTAAAGACAACCACAGAATGATGAAAATATGATCTCCTGTACATCATCCCATCCATTTTGTCCAGAAATGCTCACTAGAGTGTGGCTCTTATACAAATTTATATATAGGGAGTGAGCCATGACAGCCATAAAGCAGCTATTCACTTCTATGGATAGGCTGTAAAGAAAAAATGCAACCCTCCCACTTAATAGGCAGCATGAGGCTGAGTCAACACACACACACACACACGCACACGCACACGCACACGCACACGCACACGCACACGCACACACACACACCTTAATGGATAGCAGTAGCAGATGCCCAGCCAGGACTGGTTGAAAGAAGGCCTTATGAGAGGGAACACAGACACACACAGATAGAGACAGTATGACAAGCAGCCTTCATATTAACAACTTGTGCAATGGCCATCCTGTGTAAAAGAAAGGAAACACTTTATATCAGAAACTGTAGAATTACAATAGCACAATACATAATATATGTATGACCTCATTTTATTTCCACAATACACGCATAAGGCGTGTATGGAATACCAGTACTCTTGACAGGGTTGATGCCCTCTATTGGTCAAGGAAAGAAGTTGCAAAAATTACATCAAAAGGGATTCATGTTTTATTCTTAAAGAATAGTTAATACACTTTGAACTAGAATGTTTTGTAATTTGTATTCAGTGATCTGGAGTCTTGTTTCCACATCATGTCAGAAGCGTTTCCCTTCCATGTAGTATAAAATGTGACAAATAAAATTAAAAATATGTATGAAAATGATGTGAATCAGTGCTATTTTATGACCTTTACAGTAACCTGATCTCAATCCAGCTGAACATCTGTGGGAGATTTTGGAGTCATGTGTTAGACACCACCATCATCGCAACACCAAATGAGCAAAATATCTTTGGGAAGACTGTTGTTTCATCCCTCCAGTAGAGTTCAAGAGACTTAAGGAGCATTTAAGCTGTTCTGACAGCTCATGGTGGGAACAACACCTTACAAAACACATTTTGTTGGTTTTTCCTTTAAGTTGTAGCAGCTTTAGAAAAAATGGGATGCCAAACAATCTACCTTATGTTGGAGCTGTTAAAATTTCTGCTGGAGTGATAAAGACTTTTAAGTATAACATCAAGTCGGATAATTGGCAGGTTTGTGCCTTCTA